CGTCCGTTGGGTACGGGCTTGATCAGGGAGGTCACGGCGCCACTTAGGATGTGTGCGCAGGGGGATCATCAGGAGATGATTCAGCTGTTCCTGATTGACTCTCCTGCGTATCCGGTGGTGCTGGGCATGCCCTGGTTGAGTACCCATAACCCAGTGATTTCGTGGCAGGAGAGGGCTCTGATGGAGTGGTCTGCTCAGTGTGTGGGTAGATGTTTGGGCGTTTCCGTAGGGGCTACCTCGGTGGAGAGTCCAAACCAGGTGCCCGCATTGCACATTCCACCTGAGTATGGGGATTTGGCTATTGCGTTTAGTAAGGCGAGGGCGACGCGGTTGCCACCCCATAGGCAGGGGGATTGTGCGATAAACCTCCAGGCAGGAGCTGCGCTCCCACGGAGCCATGTGTATCCTCTGTCTCAGGAGGAGAAGAAAGCTATGGAGATTTACATAGACGAATCACTGAGACAAGGATACATACGGCCGTCCACTTCCCCCGCGTCCTCGAGTTTCTTTTTCGTGAAGAAAAAGGATGGTGGTTTGCGCCCATGCATCGATTACCGTGGTCTCAATCAGATTACGGTGAAGTATAGTTATCCACTCCCGCTGATTGCGACCATGACTGAGTCGTTGCATGGGGCGCGTTTCTTCACGAAACTAGATCTCAGGAGCGCGTACAACTTGGTGCGCATCAGGGAGAACGATGAATGGAAAACAGCCTTTAGTACCACCTCGGGCCATTACGAGTATCTGGTCATGCCATACGGGTTGATGAACGCTCCATCAGTTTTCCAATCATTTGTGGATGAGATCTTCAGGGACATGCAGGGGCAGGGGGTGGTGGTGTACATTGATGACATTCTCGTGTACTCACCTACCCGTGTCGAGCATGTAGCCCTGGTGCGCAAGGTGTTGCGGAGGCTGGTGGAGCACGACCTGTATGTGAAGGCAGAGAAGTGTCTGTTTTTCCAGGAGTCGGTCTCCTTTTTGGGTTATCAGTTGTCTGCGTCAGGGGTGAGGATGGAGGTAGATCGAGTGTCGGCCGTGCGTAATTGGCAAACACCAACCACTGTGAAGGAGGTGCAGCAGTTTTTGGGGTTTGCAAATTACTACAGGAGGTTTATCCGGGGTTTTGGACAGGTGGCAGCTCCCATCACGTCTCTGTTGAAGGGGGGTCCGGTGCGTCTGCAGTGGTCGGCCGAGGCGGACAGGGCGTTTGGGAGGCTGAAGGACCTGTTTACCTCGGCCCCGGTGCTGGCGCACCCGGATCCCTCTTTGCCGTTCCAAGTAGAGGTGGACGCGTCGGAGGCCGGTTTAGGAGCCGTGCTTTCACAACGATCTGGCGCGCCACCTAAACTCCGCCCCTGTGCTTTTTACTCTAAGAAGCTCAGTCCGGCGGAGCGGAACTATGACGTAGGGGACAGGGAGCTGTTAGCCGTGGTACAGGCTCTAAAGGTGTGGAGGCACTGGCTCGAGGGGGCTCAACACCCTTTCCTCATTTTGACGGACCACCGTAACCTGGAGTACATCCGGGCGGCGAGGAGGCTGAACCCTCGCCAGGCAAGATGGAGTATGTTCTTGACCAGGTTTACGTTTAAGATCACGTACATCCCTGGGTCACAGAATGGCAAGGCAGATGCGCTGTCTCGGCGGTATGACGCGGAGGAGAGGTCCGTGGAGCCCACTCCCATACTGCCTGCGTCGTGTCTGGTGGCGCCGGTAGTGTGGGAGGTCGATGCTGAACTCGAGCGGGCGTTACGCACCGACCCTAGTCCATCACAGTGCCCGGAGGGTCGGAAGTACGTTCCGCTCGAGGTTCGGGATCGATTGATCTATTGGGCTCACACGTCACCCTCCTCTGGACATCCGGGTATCGGCCGGACAGTGCACTGTCTTAGTGCCAAGTACTGGTGGCCCACGTTGGCTAGGGATGTGAGGGTTTATGTTTCCTCCTGCTCGGTGTGCGCCCAGTGTAAGGCGCCTAGACATTTACCTAGGGGTAAGTTGCTACCCCTGCCCGTTCCACAACGGCCATGGTCCCACCTCTCAGTGGACTTTATAACAGACCTTCCCCTCTCCCAAGGGAATACCACCATCCTGGTCGTTGTGGACCGGTTCTCTAAGGCCTGTCGTTTGCTCCCCATGCCGGGTCTTCCTACGGCCCTGCAAACTGCCGAGGCACTGTTTACCCATGTGTTCCGGCACTACGGGGTGCCCGAGGACATTGTGGCTGATCGGGGTCCCCAATTCACCTCCAGGGTCTGGAGAGCGTTTATGGAGCGGTTGGGGGTCTCGGTGAGCCTCACCTCGGGCTACCACCCGGAGAGCAATGGGCAGGTGGAACGCGTAAACCAGGATGTGGGTAGGTTTCTCAGAACATACTGCCAGGACCGGCCGGAGGAGTGGTCAAGGTACGTTCCCTGGGCCGAGATGGCCCAGAATTCCCTACGCCATTCCTCCACGAACCTAACCCCATTTCAATGTGTGTTAGGTTACCAGCCGGTTCTGGCACCCTGGCAGCAGAGCCAGATCGAGGCTCCTGCGGTGGATGAGTGGGCGCGGCGCTCGGAGGAGACTTGGAACGCTGCACACGTCCACCTGCAGCGGGCCCTCCGACGTCAGAAGGCGAGCGCTGATCTCCACCGCAGTGAGGCACCGGTGTACGCACCTGGTGATCGAGTCTGGCTCTCTACCAGAAACCTGCCCCTCCGCCTGCCCTGTCGGAAACTGGGTCGGCGGTTTGTAGGGCCATTTAAAGTCCTGAGGAGGTTGAACGAGGTTTGTTATAGATTACAGCTTCCTGTGGAGTATAAGTGTATTAACCCCTCGTTCCATGTGTCCCTTCTCAGGCCGGTGGTAGCGGGCCCACTCCAAGAAGATGAGATCTTGGAGACTCCTCCGCCCCCGTTGGACATCGAGGGGGCACCGGCGTACTCCGTGAGATCCATCTTGGATTCGAGACGTCGGATGGGGGGTCTCCAGTATCTAGTGGAGTGGGAGGGGTACGGTCCGGAGGAGCGGTGCTGGGTGCCGAGGAGAGACGTGTTGGACCCGTCGCTCCTGACGGAGTTCCATCGGAGGCATCCGACGCGCCCTGCGCCGCGTCCCCCTGGCCGTCCCCGAGGCCGGAGTCGGCGCGCGTCTGGAGCCGCGCGTCAAGGGGGGGGGGGGTACTGTCACGGTTTCGGCCGAGGCTGCCTCTCCTCCTTGTTCGGGCAGGCTTCGGCGCTCGTCGTCTCCGGAATTCTAGCTGCCACCGATAGATGTTTCATGTTCGTTTGCTTTTGTCTGTTTGTGTCACACCTGTTTCTGTTTTACGTAATTAGGGTCCTATAAGTTTCTCGTTGTGTTTGTCATGTGTTGTGTATGATTGTTTTTCGTCAGTGTTGTGTTTTGCTCGGTTGAGCATATTTTCTCCACTGCGCTGGAGCACAGTTGCACTTGTTCGTGCACCACTTCGTTTGTCGCACCTGTTTGTGCGCATTTGCCTTTTCGCCTTGTGCGTAGTTTAGCTGTTGGGCTTAGTTGTCCTGTTGCCTGTGTTGGGCCAGAAATACAGCATTTGGAACCTACCGTCGGCGTCCTGCATTTGATTTCCTACACTACACCTACACACGCCCTGACAGTCTGACGCCATTAAAAGGTCATTTACCACCTTCACGAGTGCAGTCTCAGTGCTATGATGGGGTCTAAAACCAGACTGAAGCGTTTTGTGTACATTATTTGCCTTCAGGAAGGAAGTGAGTTGCTGCAAAACAGCTTTTTATCAAATTTAAGAGGAATGGGAGATTCGATATTGACCAATCATTTTTTATTTATTTAAATTTTCTGGGTCAAGGTTTGGCTTTTTCAAGAGAGGCTTTATTACTGCCACTTTACCTGCTAGCCTTTTCAGGAATCCCAACCCTTCCTCGATCATTCAATCAGCTTTTGTTCCTAAATGGGAATTCTATAGTTGGAATGGCATGTGGAATAGACAAGGCTATGGTGTGTGTGTGGTTGTGTGTGATTTGATAGGGAGATTTTCAGCATTTTGCAATGCAAAGAAGCAGCATTATGGTTGAAGGTTTAGTGTGTGTGTGTACAGTCAGTCGTTCTCTGTCTCCTTCTCGTATTGTCAGTTTTTCTGTATATTAGTCTCTGTCTTTTTATTTGACAATCAAAGACACATTAAATCACATCAATTCCAATATTGACTTACTAGAGACGATGTATTGTTGCCATGGGCCCAATGGGCTCTGGTCTAAAGTAGTGCACTATATAGGGAATAGGGTGCCATTTGGGACACTTAGTGTATCTCTGTCCACCTGTTCATCTCTCTCCCTCTCTCTGAACTCATTCATCAGAATACAGACGTGTTCTCCTTCTCTGAACTCATTCACCAGAATACAGACCTGTTCTCGCTCTCTTTGAACTCATTAATCAGAATACAGACGTGTTCTCTCTCTCTGAACTCATTCACCAGAATACAGACGTTGTATTAGCCAGGCAAAGGGGGGGGGGGGGGGAGAGAGAGAGACAGGGCTGTTGTATTAGCCAGGCAAAGGGGGGGGGGGGGGGGGAGAGAGAGAGACAGGGCTGTTGTATTAGCCAGGCAAAGGGGGGGGGGGGGGGGGGGGGGAGAGAGAGAGACAGGGCTGTTGTATTAGCCAGGCAAAGGGGGGGGGGGGGGGAGAGAGAGAGACAGGGCTGTTGTATTAGCCAGGCAAAGGGGGGGGGGGGGGGAGAGAGAGAGAGACAGGGCTGTTGTATTAGCCAGGGAGAGAGAGACAGGGCTGTTGTATTAGCCAGGGAGAGAGAGACAGGGCTGTTGTATTAGCCAGGGAGAGGGCTGTTGTATTAGAATGGGGTGAATGGGTTGTGTCCCTCCCTAAGCTGTCAATGAGAGGATGTCTGCAATCTACAGACAACAACACCTTGAAAACACTGTTGCATGACTTAACTATTTATTGTGGCTGAAATGTAATATTCATATGTATCCAAGTGATTTTCTGTCTTGTCTTCAGGGCATGAACTTCATCGCTGGGTACCTCATTATCATCACTAAAGATGAAGAGAAATCATTCTGGCTGATGGACGCTCTGCTGGGCAGGATACTACCAGGTGTGTGTGTGGGAGAGCAGCTCTATTCCTGTCTCATCCCCCTGCCGTGGGTCTATGTATATCCCAGCTGAGGTCACATGGTCTTGAGCCTCGTTAAGACCCATGTCCCGTCACACGGAGGGGAGGGCTAATCCTATGATGTCACACAGGAAATTACATCACGCCCCAGCCCACTACCCCCCCCTTCCTGTTCTGGCATAGTCGGGCTCCACTCCGGCAAACAGGTGGATTTGATCTGAGATCACGTTCGTCACTGTGTTCAGGGTTGATATCTTTGAGGTGTGTTTGTGACTGTTGATACTAAGTTATGTGTCCTGTCTAGACTACTACACCCCGGCCATGCTGGGTCTGAAGATGGACCAGGAGGTTTTAGGGGAGCTGGTGAGGACCAAAGCCCCAGTTGTGTGGCAGGCCATGGGGCAACACAACGTCATGTGGACCCTGGTGGTCTCCAGGTGGTTCATCTGCCTCTACATAGACGTCCTGCCTGTAGAGGTGAGGGGGATGGAGGGCGGGTGAACTAGGGGATTGAAAAACAAGGAGAGAACTTTGGCAAAATCTTTGTGGTTGTTGGAGTTCTATTACTACGTTGATGCAACTATTGAATATGTGAACGCCCAGTCAGGTTTGAGTCTGTGATCTGTTGTAGAAGGGCTATTAAATAATGCTTTATCAGTGCTGACTAAGACACTGAGCTTTATCAGAGGCTCAGCTCCACAACAGGTCTGAATCAGGTTTCCAGGGCAGAATGGGATCTGTGTGTCAGGAGATCAGTCTGCTGAGCTGAACTAAGTCCAGGGCTGTGTCCTGGAGCAGCAGGGAGGGAAGGATGACGCGGTATCATGAAGTAGAATGATCATGAAGAACAATCTTTACATCTTTCATCACCGTGCCTAGTGTCACTGTCTACCGTCTCAGCTAATATGACTGTCCTGCTGCCCTTCTGTTGTTATTAAACCTGACTGTCCTGCTGCCCTTCTGTTATTAAACCTGACTGTCCCGCTGCCCTTCTGTTGTTATTAAACCTGACTGTCCCGCTGCCCTTCTGTTGTTATTAAACCTGACTGTCCTGCTGCCCTTCTGTTGTTATTAAACCTGACTGTCCCGCTGCCCTTCTGTTGTTATTAAACCTGACTGTCCCGCTGCCCTTCTGTTGTTATTAAACCTGACTGTCCCGCTGCCCTTCTGTTGTTATTAAACCTGACTGTCCTGCAGCCCTTCTGTTGCTATTAAACCTGACTGTCCTGCTGCCCTTCTGTTGTTATTAAACCTGACTGTCCCGCTGCCCTTCTGTTGTTATTAAACCTGACTGTCCCGCTGCCCTTCTGTTGTTATTAAACCTGACTGTCCCGCTGCCCTTCTGTTGTTATTAAACCTGATGCTCTCCTCTCTCCATTCTCCTTGGTTCTCCTACTCAGACGGTTCTGCGTATCTGGGACTGTCTGTTCTACGAGGGTTCTAAGATCCTGTTCCGTGTGGCTCTGACATTGATAAGGAACCAGCAGGCTGAGGTCCAGCAGGCTGGTTCCCTGCCTGACGTCTGTGACAGCTTCAAACACATGACCAGAGGCCCCTATGTAGAGGACTGCCACACCTTCATGCAGGTACACATATACACACACACTGAAATGAACATTGTGTGTGTGTGTGTGTGTACCATGATGATCTCTGTAATCCTTTGTCCTGCTGCTTTCCCAGAAAATCTTCACGGAACCCGGAAGCCTCTCCATGGCAACCATCACCAAGCTCCGGGAGATGTGTCGAGCACGCATCATCGCTGAGGAGTCCTGACCCCATCCTCCTGACCTGTCAATCAAACACTACACATTCCGGGCTGGGTCCCAACACTCCTTAATGGTCTCCTCTCTTTGGCTCCTATCCCTCACTGTTGGGACAGTCCCTAGACTGTTTTGCACTGTTTAGCCTGACTACCATGTAGCTATGTAGACTACCATGTATGGAGACCACCAGAGGTGAAAGTAAGGCGGTACGTCCGGTATGGAGTACCGGCAAAATAATTAGTAGCTATCCTGTGGAGGTACACCGTACTGGTTAAACATGAGCCTATCACAATAAGGAACAACAAAGACGGAAAGGAAACTTTTGGCTATTACACTATCAATACCACATGAAAGTCGCATGAAAAAAAAACAATTGTGAATGGACATGGAAAAACGTATGGAATACGCTCCAAAATGCGGTGTGGTTCGGCCATAAGTGACATTTTGCAAAGGCAGAGATGATTGGCCGAGACCGAGGCGGTCGGACAGCAGTGGACATATCAATGCAGGTTACCAGTCTGCTGTAGCCCTGATAAATGACCATCACTGGATATCATTCATTACACCTTTTTGCTGTCTTTCCATTCATCAAATGGAGGGTGCACAGTGCGCTGTAGAGATGCAGGAATTCAAAATGGTTTTCAGTCCAGCATTGGTCATAATCTGTGTTTGGGAAACCACCCCTAGATGTATTTAGTTCATGTAGACCTGAATGTATACATGTAGCTAGATAGATGGCGTGCTTGTCTTAAATCTCACCCTGCTAACTGACGATTCCATTGTGTCCCCCAAATGGCACCCTATTCCTGACGTAGTGCAAAAGTAGTGCACTATATAGGGAATAGGGTGCCATTTGAGCCACAACTCATGTGAGATTCATGTTGCCGCCTGAAGCTAGTCTTAACTGGAGGAAGACCATTTCATTTAAGAAAAATATTTGAATTCTATGACTTTGCACTTTTCTCCTCCCAGAGTGGATGAGATCACTGATGACGTTGGGAAGTAGACTTGACGCGTATGGTACGTTGTTGAGCGTATGGTACGTTGTTGAGCGTATGGTACGTTGTTGAGCGTATGGTACGTTGTTGAGCGTATGGTACGTTGTTGAGCGTATGGTACCTTGTTGAGCGTATGGTACGTTGTTGAGCGTATGGTACGTTGTTGAGCGTATGGTACGTTGTTGAGCGTATGGTACGTTGTTGAGCGTATGGTACGTTGTTGTACATTGTACATGAATGATGAAGTGTCCGTTGTAGTTCACTAGCCTGAGTCTTTGAACACCAGACACTATTAAATAAGCTACTCTGACTCTCCTCCTTCACCATCATGTGACCCGTCTGTTCTTTCTGATACTTTTGAAGTCCCTGTAATCTCTAGTGCTGGGAACTACAAACCCCATCTATTCTCAACTAAGGAAGCAGAAGAGAGTTTCAAATGTATTTTATTGACCTCAGCAGGATGCATAATAGAAAAATGATCAAAACATTCTCTACAAAAATAAAATATCAACTCGCTACAAATCGATATTAACACAATCATGGGAGGAGAGGGGAAGAGTTAGAGACAATATTACACCCCCTGCTTTTAGAAAACAATGCATCTACCCATTTCTGCCCAATTCAACACATCCATCATGTAACACCTTGACCTTGTGTTACATTCCTCAGTCTTATGCCATCCACAACCCTTTGTTTTGAAATGGAGTAAAACCCAAACACAGCACACCCCCCCCCTAAGGCCTTTCAAATGTTCTTGTGACCTACAGGATAATTAGGTCAGTATTTCTAACCAGAGTGGGGTTATTAGACAGACATTCACAAGTTTCCCTTTTCACAGGAGTCTTCGGGCCTCCCAGGTGATGTCATAGAAAAGATGGTGGTCATGAAGGAAAGGAGATGAGGGAGGAAGGAAGGAAAGCTTGTTGTGTGTTTGAGCCAATCACAAGATGTGGTTCTAGGAAAGACCCCCTCCTCCATAAGAGTTTAATACCATATAATGTCAGATTAATTGTAATTTACACCAAAATTACAATTGAAGAAAAAAAATCATTCAATTACTTCAAAGCGAAAATCCACCCAAGTCAAACATGAAATGAGATTAGAACTAAAATGAGGGTATACTGAGCCAGCTGCAGTAGAGATGGGTTAGAGAGAGAGACGAGGGGGATAGTAGGTTTGACCAGGCAGTAGTCGGTTAGTAGGTAGCAAAGGATGAGCTGCTGTGAATAACAATACATAGAGGATACACACTCACTCTCACACACACACACACACACACACACGCTGCAGAGAGGGCTCGGTTTGTACATCGTCCAGTCAGCCATTAGTAGCAGTGGGTGGTTGGAGCGTCCGGCTCTCTGCAGTATGTCTGAAAAGGCTCCATTGGCCTCTGGTCAAAAGTAGTGCACTATCTAGGGAATAGGGGGCTATTTGAGACACAAGCAGCCTGTGTGTCAGTGTTCTCAGATGGTCTGGTATCCAGCGGGCCTCCTCTTCCTGCCGATGAGGTAAGCAATGAGAACGATTAGAACCAGGCCGGCCAGAGCTGCTCCCACGACGATGGGGATCAACATGTTGTCCTGATCCAACTGACACTCCTCCGCTAGAGGGAGGGAGGGAGAGGAGGGATGTGGAGAGAGGGAGAGGAGGGATGTGGAGAGAGGGACGGGGGGGGAAGAGAGAAGGTAATTAATACAAATGCAGAACTTCTAATCAAGGACAACCATAAAACACAAAGGGTAGAGAGAGAGAGGAGAGATGGATAGATCAGATGAAAGGGTAGAGAGAGAGAGGAGAGATGGATAGATCAGATGAAAGGGTAGAGAATGAGAATGCTAGATTATAACGTATCCAGTACCTTGTGCAAACTGTCCTCTGGTGAGGCCGAAGGGCTGGACCTGCAGCTGGAAGGTGTTGAGGGAGAAGTTCTGGTCTACAGCCAGAGTCTGTTCTGAACTACACATGTAGCTACGCCCCAGGGAGCCACGCAAGTAGTCCAGACTACTGTTACTGGTGTTGAACGGGGCTGGAGGGAGGGAGAGTCGTTAAACATTCAAATCCAGACATGCATTCTTACCATGGAACAGTAATTATTCAGCAGAGAGAGGTGGTAAAGGAACAGAGAGAGAGGGGTGGTAAAGGAACAGAGAGAGAACCAAATCATGAGAAAACAAAAATATAATTTACAAAAAAACTGCACAAACTAGAATGCTATTTGGCCCTAAACAGAGAGTACACAGTGGCAGAATACCTGACCCAAAATTAAGGAAAGCTTTGACTATGTACAGACCCAGTGAGCATAGCCTTGCTATTGAGAAAGGCCGCCGTAGGCAGACCTAGACAGGCTATGTGCACACTGCCCACAAAATGAGGTGGAAACTGAGCTGCACTTCTTAACTTCCTGCCAAATGTATGACCATATTAGACATATTTCATTCAGATTACACAGACCCACAAAGAATTAGAAAACAAATCACATTTTGATAAACTCCCTTATCTACTGGGTGAAATACCACAGTGTGCCATCACAGCAGCAAGATTTGTGACCTGTTGCCACAAGGGCAACCAGTGAAGAACAAACACCATTGTAAATACAACCCATATTTATGTTTATTTATTTTCCCATTTGTACTTTGTACACATCATTACAACACTGTATATAGACATAATATGATATTTGAAATGTCTTTATTCTTTTGGAACTTGTGTGAGTGTAATGTTTACTGTTAATAAAAGTGATATAAACAATAAAAAAGTATCTATTTCACTTGCTTTGGCAATGTAAACATGTTTCCCATGCCAATACAGCCCTTACATTGGAATTGAATTGAGAGAGAGAGGCAGTGAGAGTGAGAGAGAGAGAGAGGTAGTAAATGGCGAGAGAGAGAGGTAGTAAAGGTGAGTGGTATCATATACAATGCATTCAGAAAGTATTCAGACCCCTTGACGTTTTCCACATTTTGTTACGTTACAGCCTTATTCTAAAATAGATCACATTGTTTTTTTCCCCTCATCAACAATACCCCATAATGACAAAGTGAAAGCAGGTTTTTAGAAATGTTTGCATGTTTTGTCTATATGGACACTATTGATAAGGAATCCCTAACCTGTTATGTCAGACCAAGCTGTTACCACAGACAGACCACTGAGGTGATACTAACCTGTCATGTCAGACCAAGCTGTTACCACAGACAGACCACTGAGGTGATACTAACCTGTCATGTCAGACCAAGCTGTTACCACAGACAGACCACTGAGGTGATACTAACCTGTCATGTCAGACCAAGCTGTTACCACAGACAGACCACTGAGGTGATACTAACCTGTCATGTCAGACCAAGCTGTTACCACAGACAGACCACTGAGGTGATACTAACCTGTCATGTCAGACCAAGCTGTTACCACAGACAGACCACTGAGGTGATACTAACCTGTCATGTCAGACCAAGCTGTTACCACAGACAGACCACTGAGGTGATACTAACCTGTCATGTCAGACCAAGCTGTTACCACAGACAGACCACTGAGGTGATACTAACCTGTCATGTCAGACCAAGCTGTTACCACAGACAGACCACTGAGGTGATACTAACCTGTCATGTCAGACCAAGCTGCGACCACAGACAGACCACTGAGGTGGTACCTGTTAGACGTGGTGTTCTGTAAAGAGAAGAACATCAGTCACGGAGGAGAGTAGAGAATTAACAGACAGACAGGTAAGCAAACAGACCGAGAGACAGACAGGTAAACAGACTGATAACCAGACAGACAAACAGACAGACAGGTCAACGGTAGAGTGATGATGTCACCAGAGTAAACAGGAAGCTGAGGTTGGTGGTTCCGCCCTGCGTCAGCACCAGGGTGGCGCTGGAGGGGTCACATGATCCTGAGCTGGTCGTCTGATTGGGCAGCAGGTTTACTACTTCCTGGATAGTCTGTCAATGAGGAGGAGAGGGACAGGTTATTGTGTGTTACTGGGACAGTGTGTGTGTGTGTACATGAGTGTGTGTTACCTTATTCTGTAAGGCAGAGAAGTGGGAGATGTTCAGCTGCAGTGCCATGCGGGCCAACAGACAGACAGTCCCGTTGCTATTGGAGACGGAGTAGCTGCCCTGGTTGGGGGTTCCAGGGGGGGTGGGGACAGGGACGGGGGCTGCTGTGGTGGTGGAAGGGGGTGGAGGGGGGGCTGTGGTGGAGTTCTGGTCAGCAGTACACACACTCTCTGGGAATGACAGAACAGAACATTTATCAACACCACAACACGGGTCAATATCCTCATACTGTTCAGAACATTTATCAACACCACAACACGGGTCAATATCCTCATACTGTTCAGAACATTTATCAACACCACAACACGGGTCAATATCCTCATACTGTTCAGAACATTTATCAACACCACAACACGGGTCAATATCCTCATACTGTTCAGAACATTTATCAACACCACAACACGGGTCAATATCCTCATACTGTTCAGAACATTTATCAACACAACACAGGTCAATATCCTCATACTGTTCAGAACAGTTACAGTGGGGAAAAAAGTATTTAGTCAGCCACCAATTGTGCAAGTTCTCCCACTTAAAAAGATGAGAGAGGCCGGTCATTTTCATCATAGGTACACGTCAACTATGACAGACAAAATGAGGAAAAAAAATCCAGAAAATCACATTGTAGGATTTTTTATGAATTTATTTGCAAATTATGGTGGAAAATAAGTATTTGGTCAATAACAAAAGTTTCTCAATACTTTGTTATATACCCTTTGTTGGCAATGACACAGGTCAAACGTTTTCTGTAAGTCTTCACAAGATTTTCACACACTGTTGCTGGTATTTTGGCCCGTTCCTCCATGCAGATCTCCTCTAGAGCAGTGATGTTTTGGGGCTGTCGCTGGGCAACACGGACTTTCAACTCCCTCCAAAGATTTTCTATGGGGTTGAGATCTGGTGACTGGCTAGGCCACTCCAGGACCTTGAAATGCTTCTTACGAAGCCACTCCTTCGTTGCCCGGGCGGTGTGTTTGGGATCATTGTCATGCTGAAAGACCCAGCCACGTTTCATCTTCAATGCCCTTGCTGATGGAAGGAGGTTTTCACTCAAAATCTCACGATACATGGCCCCATTCATTCTTTCCTTTACACGGATCAGTCGTCCTGGTCCCTTTGCAGAAAAACAGCCCCAAAGCATGATGTTTCCACCCCCATGCTTCACAGTAGGTATGGTGTTCTTTGGATGCAACTCAGCATTCTTTGTCCTCCAAACACGACGAGTTTAGTTTTTACCAAAAAGTTCTATTTTGGTTTCATCTGACCATATGACATTCTCCCAATCCTCTTCTGGATCATCCAAATGCACTCTAGCAAACTTCAGACGGGCCTGGACATGTACTGGCTTAAGCAGGGGGACACGTCTGGCACTGCAGGATTTGAGTCCCTGGCAGCGTAGTGTGTTACTGATGGTAGGCTTTGTTACTTTGGTCCCAGCTCTCTGCAGGTCATTCACTAGGTCCCCCTGTGTGGTTCTGGGATTTTTGCTCACTGTTCTTGTGATCATTTTGACCCCACGGGGTGAGATCTTGCGTGGAGCCCCAGATCGAGGGAGATTATCAGTGGTCTTGTATGTCTTCCATTTCCTAATAATTGCTCCCACAGTTGATTTCTTCAAACCAAGCTGCTTACCTATTGCAGATTCAGTCTTCCAAGCCTGGTGCAGGTCTACAATTTTGTTTCTGGTGTCCTTTGACTGCTCTTTGGTCTTGTCCATAGTGGAGTTTGGAGTGTGACTGTTTGAGGTTGTGGACAGGTGTCTTTTATACTGATAACAAGTTCAAACAGGTGCCATTAATACAGGTAACGAGTGGAGGACAGAGGAGCCTCTTAAAGAAGAAGTTACAGGTCTGTGAGAGCCAGAAATCTTGCTTGTTTGTAGGTGACCAAATACTTATTTTCCACCATAATTTGCAAATAAATTCATTAAAAATCCTACAATGTGAAAATTTCTGGAGAAAAAAAATCTCAATTTGTCTGTCATAGTTGACGTGTACCTATGATGAAAATTACAGGCCTCTCATCTTTTTAAGTGGGAGAACTTGCACAATTGGTGGCTGACTAAATACTTTTTTCCCCCACTGTATAAACCAACACGGGTCAATACCCTCATACTGTTCAGAACAGTTATAAACCAACACGGGTCAATATCATCATACTGTTCATTTAAACAATAAGTTAAGGGGTCAAAGCCAAACATGTAAAGGAATAACCAAAGTGTTGATGGTTGATGCTCAGTGTACAGTTGTTAATGGTTGATGGTCAGTGTACAGTTGTTGATGGTCAGTGATGGACAATAAGTGTGCGTCCCAAATGAGCCCCGGTCAAAAGTAGTGCACCATCTAGGGAATATGGTGGCATTTGGGTATCAGCCCAGGTGTTGGTGGCTGTACCGTTGGGGCTCAGATCATCTCCTGTCATGTAGGCCTCCATCTTGACGTTTGAGAAGGTGACGGTGGCTCCTCCCACAATGACAGGTGAGACGCTGATACATCTGTAGGTGGTGTTGACCCTAGCAACCATCCCCACAGAGGTCGTCTCCACAGTTACCACATCTGTAGAACAACAGACAAGACACATTGGTCAGAAATCAAATAATAATCAATTCCGTGTGTGTACGTGCGAAGCGTGTGTGTGTGTCAATCTCTTTCTCACCGGTACTGTTGGCCTCTGGGAAGGTAGTGACATCACTGAGGTTGTACTGCAGGGTGAGGTTAGATACGCTGTACAGGCTGTTATTGGATGAGAAGCTGAGGCCCAGGGTGTGGCCATCCCCAAACAGCGCCACGAGCCAGGGGGAGCGGCCGTCACCCCCACACGAGCTGGCCCCACCCACCACCGCCGACCCTGGGAGGGGCACCATCACCGTACGCTGGAGAGAAGAAGAAGAATGTTTGTACATTTAAAACATGTTCAGGATGGGATCGTTGGCCCAAACTCATGCACACAGTTGTCGTGGGAAGAGAGACTTATGTTCAGGACATTTTCAAAAGTACAATCTGTGTTTCTCTAAGCCGGAGAGGATTGTGGGGGATGTAGTTTACCGTGCCGTTGGCTGTGTCATAGGTGATGGAGAAGGAGGCGGAGAGTTCAGCTTTTATACAGGTGGAGTTTCCCTCTGTCACCTCCAGAGTGACCAGAGCCTGGGCTACTGTCACGCAACCTGGGGGGGAGATATCATCATCATTACCATCACCACTATAACTATGACTGACTGGGCTACTGTCACGCAACCTGGGGGGGAGATATCATCATCATTACCATCACCACTATAACTATGACTGACTGGGCTACTGTCACGCAACCTGGGGGGGAGATATCATCATCATTACCATCACCACTATAACTATGACTATGACTGACTGGGCTACTGTCACGCAACCTGGGGGGGAGATATCATCATCATTACCATCACCACTATAACTATGACTGACTGGGCTACTGTCACGCAACCTGGGGGGGAGATATCATCATCATTACCATCACCACTATAACTATGACTGACTGGGCTACTGTCACGCAACCTGGGGGGAGATATCATCATCATTACCATCACCACTATAACTATGACTGACTGGGCTACTGTCACGCAACCTGAGGGGGAGATATCATCATCATTACCATCACCACTATAACTATGACTGACTGGGCTACTGTCACGCAACCTGGGGGGGGAGATATCATCATCATTACCATCACCACTATAACTATGACTGACTGGGCTACTGTCACGCAACCTGGGGGGGAGATATCATCATCATTACCATCACCACTATAACTATGACTGACTGGGCTACTGTCACGCAACCTGGGGGGGAGATATCATCATCATTACCATCACCACTATAACTATGACTGACTGGGCTACTGTCACGCAACCTGGGGGGGAGATATCATCATCATCATCATCATCATCATCATCACCACTATAACTATGACTGACTGGGCTACTGTCACGCAACCTGGGGGGGGGGGGGGGGGGGGGGGATATCATCATCATGACCATCACCACTATAACTATAACTAACTGGGCTACTGTCACGCAACCTGGGGGGAGATATCATCATCATTACTATAACCATGACTGACTGGGCTACTGCCATGCAACCTGGGGGGGAGATATCATCATCATTACCATCACCACTATAACTATAACTATGACTGACTGGGCTACTGTCACGCAACCTGGGGGGGAGATATCATCATCATTACTATAACCATGACTGACTGGGCTACTGCCATGCAACCTGGGGGGGAGATATCATCATCATTACCATCACCACTATAACTATAACTAACTGGGCTACTGTCACGCAACCTGGGGGGGAGATATCATCATCATTACCATCACCACTATAACTATAACTAACTGGGCTACTGTCATGCAACCTGGGGGGGAGATATCATCATCATCATTACCACCACCATCAGCAGCACCATCACTTGAGCAACAACCTGAGTAGTTCTAGCAAAGACAGTACAGTAGGAAGATAGGCAGAAACTGCTTCTCCAATAAAAATCCCTGATCATTCTTGTAAGTGATGTCATGGCGACACTGGCTAGCTAAGCTCATGCACAGAAACACATTAACGGGTCTAATGGTCATCTAGTGCCAAACTATGCATGTACATGCTGTCAAATCAAAGGCACTCCTTTGATATCAAGTTGTTTTTGACTGAAAATTAAAACGTGTCAAGTTTGCCACTCTCACAAGGTTGGAGTGTTGAGGATTATTCCATGTTTAAGGCCCAGTGCACTATCAAACTCACTATCACAGTGGCAAAGTGTTTCTCCAAAATGACCACCAAGTCACCTGACCACTCACCTGACAGGTCAGATGGTCACCAGCTGACCATATTAAAGATGGCCGCCATACACACACCACACCAGACATTGGCTGCGTTTCAAACACATAAAAGACACACCCTCCTCCACTTACCCTCGCGGCCATATTTGTTGTCAGTCCAAATGATTGTCCAAGCAAGGGAAGTTGGCAACGTAAGCCCCTCAGCCCTAGTTTTTGATCGAGTTTGCGAGTGTATTATTACGTTCACTCCGGGGCCTGAAATGCCCCATAATTCAATTCGCGATGATTGTACATCCGCTAAGAAAAGTCAGCCAAAACTTAAAACCAACATTAATATGGAGAAGCAGTGGCGGTTTTACACGGAGGCCGGGGGAGGCCCGTGCCTCCCTGGAAATGTCCCTGGACACCCCTGTGGCCCCCCCGTGCTGACCAAATAAAAAATTATGAATTTATAACTATTTTACACGCGAGCGCCAAAAGCGGAACTAATGCAACGCTCTACACGGCAACGTTCTACACGGGTAAATTAGAGTGGCGCACCCAAAAACTGTATCCTGCCATCTGCCTGCCTGCCACGTGTGGTGCTGCTTCGGTGAATGAGAGCTCAGCAACTACTATTTGCGAGAGGAGCTACGATTTGCAGGAGTCGAAGGTAAGGAAAAACGATTTAATATCATAAGTGACTTGTTGTTCTTGCACATAGCCTACATGTTCCTTTTGTTCCTCACACATAAATCAAATCAAGTTTTTAAATGTCTGGTCTCGATTTGTTTAGAAATGTAATCATATCTAAGCAAACTCATCGAAGCAGAAGCAAATATCCAAATGTTAGTAGGCTATCCTTGCTAGGTCTACACAATGTTGTGATGTTAACCACGTAACTTCATCCGTCTTGGCTGTTGCATCGCGATAACAAATACATTTTTAGTAAAGTAATCAACAGGTTATCTGCCTGTGTTAAGTAGGGAGGGATGGTTAGGTAACAAAATGTAATGCATGCCCCTACGTTTTTTCTTCTTCTAATAGTTATCATGAAACGAGGAAGGGACATAAAGTCATTTTTTGCCCCAGCAAACAAAAAAGTGAGAGAAACAAATCGAGGTTTTGAGAAAGTTGAGGAAGAGGGAGAGCCAGCATGTGATGAAAGTGAGGGGTCTGACAAAGAGAGGGAAATTCCAGAGGGTGAGGAGGATGAAGAAGAGGGTGAGGAGGATGAAGAAGAGGGTGAGGAGAATGAAGAAGAGGGCGAGGAGAATGAAGAAGAGGGTGAGAAGCATGAAGAAGAAAGCATACAGGGACAGAGAGATGAACAGCCAGAGGGACAGCAAGTGGATCCATGTGGATCAAGTACTGCACCATCAGGTTTGTGATGAGGAAGGTTCTTACTATTTGCAAAGCAATGCAATTACAATGTAATGGTAGGCCTGCTGGGTGTCCTTAAAATGCTGCTTTCTGCTGTTAATTCTTTTTTGTGTCAATATGGCTCTGTTTTTTTTTTTAAGTAAATACTTTGCCTACATTTTGAAATACATGCAGATATACAGTAAATAAATGTTGTAGTTGTGCCCTATGTTTACTGTCCATCTTCTTCAGATATCAGCAAGTCTAAGTATGACGTACCAGTACAGCCGAACTTGAAGATATTCCCAACCACACTGATGGGGGACAGAAGACGAAGCTTCAGACCAAACTGGTACACTACTCATCCATGGCTTGAGTATTCTGTAATGACGGACTCTACATGTTGCTATGCATGTAGACATTTTAGCACACCAAATGCCCCAGACACCGTTTTTGTTTCAACACCTGGTTTTACAAACTGGAAAAAGGCAACTATGAGAAATGCAGGGTTTTCACTACATGCAAAGTCTGAACGACACAAGTGTGCAATGATCGCATGGAGGGATTATCAAAGAGCTGTTAGAACTGACGCAACACTAACAGATCTCCTTGACAAAGAACACACTAAACAAGTACAAGAAAATCAGGCATACATTAAAACAGTTGGGGAAGTGCTGTTGCTTACAGCTACACAAAACATAGCACAAAGAGGACATGATGAATCTGAAGGGTCCACTAACAAAGGAAACTTTAGGGAAATTCTTAACACAGTTGCTAACCACGACCAACTTGTTAAGAGAAGATTAACTTCCATTCACAATGCAAAGTACACAAGCAAGATCATCCAGAATGAGGTTTTGGGTTGTTTGGCAGAAATGGTTCGGTCTGAAATCATAGAAGAAGTGAAGAAAAGTGAGGTTTTTAGCGTCATGGCAGATGAAACAAAGGATATTTCAAAAAAAGAACAGATGTCCTTCACACTCAGGTACTATTACAATGGGGCCATTAAGGAGAGTTTTCTCCATTTTGAATCTGCAGAGAGGTTAGATGCAGCAGGGCTTACTGGAAAAATAATACACTTACTGGAACGTTATGGCCTGGACTACAAAAATAACCTCGTAGGCCAAGCGTACGATGGCGCTGCCGTTATGAGCGGTAAGCATTCAGGGGTTCAGGCAAGGATCAAAGAACAGGCTAAATTTGCCTTCTACGTCCATTGTAGTGCTCATTGTCTGAATTTAGTGTTAGTTGATGTAGTCAAAAGTGTCCCAGAAACGGAGGAGTTTTTTTCTTTGTTACAGAGTCTTTATATGTTTACTTCTTCCTCATATGTGCACCCAAAATGGCTGTCTCTCCAAAGAGAAATGTATGGCAGAACCAGAGAGCTGCAACGTTTAAGCGACACACGTTGGTCATGCCGATTTCTAGCCCTACGTAATATCATGGACACTCTACCTGCCCTTAAACGACTACTGCAAGAGATTGCTCAAGAACGTCATGGTGAAAGAACTGTTGAGGCCCGAGGTCTTCTTGCTCAAATTGACCTAGAATTTGTTGTGCATCTTGTTACTCTGCGTAAGTTGTTTGGGGAGACAAAGCTATTGTCTGACATGTTACAGTCACAAACTGTTGATCTATCAAGTGCTGTTGACTTAGTAAATGCTTTAGTCCTGACATTGAAAGACCACAGGCAGGAGTCTTTCTTTGATGAGTTGTGGGATGAAGCATTGAATATTTGTGAGCAGTGTGATTCTGCAACAAGGTCAGTGGCGAAACGTCAGAAAATGCTGAGCTTTAGACTCAGTGGCTACTGCACGCTAAGCACTGTTGGTCAAGAGGTTTTCAAAAAGGGGCAAACTCATGTCTCAAGACCTGCTTCTGTTGGTTCCCCTCTCCTGCCTGTAACTTTCCATCCACATCCCCAAAGTTTTGTGGCCCATTATGACATCACTCCATTAAGTGATTGCTGCATGTACTGCTCTAAGGAAACACTTCTCTCTCTCTCTCTCTCTCTCTCTCTCTCTCTCTCCCTCTCATCTCTCTCTCTCTCTCTCCCTCTCCCGTCTCTCTCTCCCTCTCTCTCGATAGATAGATAGATAGATAGATAGATAGATAGATAGATAGATAGATAGATAGATAGATAGATAGATAGATAGATAGATAGAGTTTATGATTTTATTCTTTTGAATTATCTCTGCCAAACATCTATGTACTACAAATCTTCAAGCTCCACAGATGTTTTATGGCATCCACTAAACCTCTTTAGATATTTGTAAATTATACAGTGTGATACCTTTCAACGAAAGTTTATTTTATTTTTTACCAACTATGATTTTTCCTTTTGAAAACAAGCAAAGCAAGAAAAAAAAGAAAAAAAATCACTCCAATCATTGCACACTTGTGTCGTTCAGACTTTGCAGGTCCAGCTTTGACATGATGATCTAACTAACACTAATATTGTAACTAATATTGTAACTGAAATATGTATGATCCTATGATGAGCGATTGCTTACTTCCCTTTCACTCTTAAAAAATTACTGAAAAAAAATGTGTATAAAAAGGTATATGTAGTATATGTTTGTTTAGTGAGCATTCATGCTGTCATTTTTTCCTAATGTGAACTATGGTGGAAATGTGCTGTCCTAAATGGACTTGCCCATATATGTTGTAAAGCCTTTTTTTGTACACCTGCTCATCAACTGACAGTGAAGTACACAAAGATACAGACACACACACACACACAGACACCTGTAATATTCTTGTTTTCATGTTGTTGCTGATATCCATCAGTGTTGTTCATATTGCTACATTGTGTTGACATGATTGTTGCTTTTAAACGAATGTTAACTTAATGTTTATTGTCTGCATCCTATTGGACTACTGGATGTTAATGTGTAACACGTTTCCCTGTTTATGTGCTTTAGCAATACTGTATGTCAATATGGTCATGCTAGTAAAGCCTCTTTGAATTGAATTTCTTTTCTGATTTGGTTTATTTTACCTAAATGGATACAGGGTAGTGTGTTTTGTTTATAAATCACTCAGAAAGTTTTCTTTCTTAAAACAAAATGTGGAATCAACTGTCCACAGTAGTGGGGCTTCCATAAATAGGAAATGGCACATTGTTGTACCCTTTGTTGTATCCTGGAGTTTTGTTCACATTGAATATGAACCCTGTATTTGTACCCTGTACTTTTTAATTTTTTTTTATTTATTTATTTTTTCATTTTTATGGCACTATCTCTCTTGCATCTGCACTCTTGTACAAAATACGTGTTATAATAAATGTCATATGATTTTAAAGTAAAATAAAGTTTATAATCTTTGAATATCATGTGTTGCCAGTTTTTTTATGTGTGCCCCCCTGATTAAACACTGGCCCCTCCTTGGCCCCCCTAGTAAAATGTGTCTAGAACCGCCACTGTGGAGAAGTCAACATACAAGTGGAAGTAAAAACGAATGTAAATAAGTTAGAAATTGTGCTACTAATGCACATGACGGCTCAAACATGTATCATAAAAGTAATTATGTTTTTATTTGGTTAGCTTTTGGAAACGTTAGCTTGTGCATCCAACTTTCCCTGACGTCACACTTACACGTTGTAATTTTCGATTTACCTGATATAGTCGGACGCGTTGTCTTCTAGCCAAGATATGAAATGCAATCATAATTGACTGTGGCGCATATAAAGCACACACAACAGCTACCGGTGGTTCCATGATGACTGAAAACACAACTGTGGGACGAACGAGTGACACATTTTCGGGCAAGAGCGGTCCATTTAAAATTAATTCATTCTTCTCTCGTCCTGCAAGTGTCAACTCGTCAGACGTCATAATAAGTCATCAGAAGTGTCCACTTAATTTGAGGGCTGAGGGGAGAGGGTGTGTCTTAAGTGTTTGGAATGCAGACATTGTTTTGGTTTGGAAGCCATCAGACAACTCTCCAGTATGTCTAAGTGAGTGTTATGTGTCCTTCATGTGGTATATTCACGTCACACTGTTTATCGATTGTAGAACCCATGTCGTATGATAATGCTAACTAGTAGCCTTTTAGCATATGGTTTGCTAGGGCCCATTCAGGTCTGTATTGACCCAAGGACCACATGTTGTGGTTACCATTATGCTACTTATGGTCCTTTATGTTTAGTATATATATGATGATGTTTTATAGCCTATCTAAGGCCATAGGGCCCATTATATTGGGGTAGCTGTAGCCTACTGACTTCTGTATTACCTTAGGACGATTGTGTACTTTGATCAGTTCACAGTATGTTAAGCTTTTAACTTTTTTATAATGCTAATTATGTTCCATTGATTATGTAAACCTTAATACTTGTTTCCATCTGTTACAAAAACCATACATGCATATTACATTATATAACTTCAATGTCCTCTGATTGACCTGGCTAAATAAAAACGGATCAAAGTGGTTAAAGAGACGTTCTGAATCAGTCGCTCTGACAGGAGCCTTTGGGCGGCCAACACCTTTCACTAAAACCAGCCATACAGTCCTAGAACATTTCTTACATGGAGTAATAACATGTTCAACTACTTAAGACGTTGCCTCGAATCTAGGTTGTGCCTCTAGATTTCGAGCAAATCAACAACTAAGGAAGAATTGTTCACTTCCCTCATTAACTTCTCTAACCCCAAACCTCGGCCTGGTCTGCTTCGCAAGCGTTCCTGGATGATGCGCCTCTAGTTTTAAAAATGATGTGGTGCTAGTCTCATCTCACAGCTGCTGCACAACCTGAGCAACAACGTCAAGAACTCCATCCAGTACAGGGAAACATATCAGTTCTCAACAATGACCAGCAGAGGGTAGTACAGGGTTAGAGTTGAGACTGAGACACAGGGACTCAGGTCACATATCAATCTAGATAGACAAGCGATTTCACAGCCTGAACACATATGTCTACAACATAATCCAGAACCCTCACATCTACAGCTGAGAAGCATCACTACCTGTCCGTACTACCAGAAGAAGTTCTAGTTTCACAGCAGTTCAGTTCCAAGCCTGAGAGGAGTTCTAGAACATTGCCTGTGATGATGTAACCCCAGTAGTGATGTAAAACTGGCAGGTCCCTCCCTCTCCTTCACTTGTACCATTACCAAACCCTTTATTAACAACCCTCTAGTCTGGCACACATAGCCTGCTACAGACTATTAATACCTGCTATGTGTTCCAAATGGTACACCCTATATAGTACACTATGCAGACTCATTTACACCTGGTGGCTACCACAACAGACACAGAGGTCGAGGGGTTAAATATGTGTCTACCAACATACAGGTTAAAGGTTAGGTTATTAGTGTGTTGCTAAGGAGTGACTGACCAGAGGGTGTACCTCAATAGTCTAGACTGGCTTCCTTCCTCTCCTCAGAGGATCAATTAATCCAAATCAGCACTTGTGTACAGACAGAATCAATGTCAGATAAACTAAGTGTGCATCCCCAATGACACCCTATTCCCTATATAGTGCACTACTTTTGACCAGGACTATTTTTGAGCAGCCCTATAGGCCCTGGTCAAAGGTAGTGCACTATATTAGGAATAGGGTGCAACTTGAGGTCATCAGCATCCAGAGCAGGGAGCCTGATGAGGCCTGATGCTGGGTCGTCAGTAGTTAACACAGCCACAAAGTCATAATTATGGCTAAATCCCACCGATTTCTACAATTTATCTTATTAAAATCTGATGCCTAACCTAAACCTTGAATTAAGACCAAATATATAAAAAGAAAAATCAAGAATTTTTACAACATGGCCAATTTTGACTTTGTGGCTGTGGTAACTAGTGCCAACCCTGATGCTGTCCTGTGTTTTGTGGGTTATTAATGTCCATCATACACTGGGTAGTTCGAGCCCTGAATGCTGATTGGCTGACAGCCGTGGTAGTGCCTAAGAACAGCCCTTAGCCATGGTATATCGGCCATATACCTCGGGCCTTATTGCTTAATTAACTATCTGGCCTGGTGGATAGCAGAGAGCAGCAGGCCCTGCTGTGCTTCCATCATGCACCCGTGTGTGATGATGACTCAGGGAGTTTTACTCCAGTGGTTGAGCATGACCCTGCCTGCCTCACATCCTCCCCTAAACACACACACACACACACACACACACACAGCAACACAGACACTTCTGAAACAGACAAAGAGTAACCGCTCTATAATACTGTTTCCACAGAAGTAGAGAGAAGACGTGTGACTCAACACTAATCACAGCTTGACTACCACACACCTGATTCCCTTTCTTATGTAGGCCTAGGTCTTATCAATATTATATACAAAATAAAGGGACACAGTTTCAAAGGTCAATGAACCTGTGACCTGGCCCATGAATAGCATCACAGCACACACACTTTCCACAAAACAGTAGAAAAATGCCAAGGCACAACTATATTACGCCTATAGCTTGTAGTTGGTTAACTTGACAGTGCTGAGACAACACATCTGTGTTCGTGTCGTGTGTGTCACTCGGTTTGAGCGGCCACCGGCCAGCTAATGGTCAGTCATAGAGGGTCCAGTGTTTCAACACACAAAGCACCTCTACGGTCACGTGAAGCGTCCCCGGAACAATGGGTTGACAGAGAGACAGACGCGCTTTTGATTTTAGGAAAACGAACTCCCTGTTTGTCTGTTCCCATTTGATTCACTTGACCTTCTACTGTCTGTCCCAAAACATATCCTGGCCATCATGAAGAAATCAACATGTGTACAAATACGACAGAGAGAAAAATAAAACACGTTACCCTGAAATGGACCATAAATAAAACGTATATCCAAATACATAATAAAATAATAGGCTTTATGTCATAGGCTCCTATAGAATTATCTATTTATTTCTAACTTACTAATTAACAAGTCACCATACTACACAATAATATAACACTAGCGGAGATTATGACGTTTTATTTCCCCCTCCGTCTCAGTAACAGTCCTCGCTCGACCACAACTATAATAAACACTTACCTAGAATCGCAAAGCAGGCGATCCCGACAACGCATGGATGTGTTGGAGTCATGTTTCAAATCCAGAGTTCTCAGAGTGCAGTTTAATGGATAGCGCACAAACAACGGGCACACCGCTCCGCCTTGTCCAAACAGCTGTCCAGGAAATGCAACAACAAGCCGAAAAGTAAAGATCGACCTTCCTTTTCCTGTTATTCTGTCCCCTTTATTTGGCGGTTATTTAATATGTTTCATATTCGTGGTCCTGTATTCGGAGCAGGTTGCAGAAGTCGGACAGTATCGCTCCCTTTCATGTCCTTAATACGAGGAAGGAATACCCAGTCATGTGAACCAAGCTTTAGAAGCACCCAGCACCGTCACGTGAGGCAGCCAGCGACATTATAGCTCAATGGCGACCGACAGCTCCCCTCCCTGACAACTCAGTTCTATGCTGCCATGCTGGCAAACCTTGGTCAAAGCATAATCTGATTTTTACTGTAGAATACTGTATTAGAGAATGTATTATTTCTTTCTGGATATTTAAAAACATCAGCTAAACAGATATTTATAGGCCAAGAGGAGGCCCATAGCAAAACAAATATTTACATAGCAGATAAACAAGTACTAATGATCTAGTAGATGTGTTTTATGTTGTGTTAAGTATGTATACAGTACTGCTGTCTTGGCTCACTTGGAAAATATGTCAATGTGACCTCTGGTTAAATAAAGGATGGTGGCCAATGTTTTTTAACTTGTCTGTGATCTAGGGGCGGCAGGTAGCTTAGAGGTGAAGAGCGTTGTGCCAGTAACCGAAAGGTCGCTGGTTCTAATCCCCGAGCCAACTAGGTGAAAAATCTGTCGATGTGCCCTTGAGCAAGGCACTTAACCCTAATTGCTCCTGTAAGTCGCTCTGGATAAGAGCGTCTGCTAAATAATGTAAATGTAAATCTAAGTGGAGAGAGATATAAAGCCCAGTAGCCAGTCTATAGTAAAGAGGAAAGGGATAGAGCAGTAGCCAGTGTCTTATATCAAAGAGGAAAGAGAGAGAGCAGTAGCCATGTGAGGACCCACGCGCAGGTCAGGGTAAAGTACTGCGGCGTGCCGCCATGGGCAGTCAGCTGACTATTTCTGTTTTTCAAATGGCACCCTATATAGTGCACTACTTTTGACCTGAGCCCTGTTCAAACGTAGTGTACTATAGGGAAAAAAATCTCTCTCTCGGCCAGAAAACTCTTGCCTCCACTTCCATCAGTTTCACTATCTTGTCTTCTGTCTAGTCCAGGGATCATAAACTACATTCAGTCGCGGCCTGATAATTAAATATATTTTCTAGACTGCAATTTCACCGCAGAAAGCCCAAACAGATATATTTCAAATTTAATTTGTCATATGTGCCGAATACAACTGGTGTAGACTTTACTGTGAAACGCTTGCTTACGAGCCCTTCCCAACAACGCAGTTTAAAAATAATAGTAACAAAAGAGGAATAAAATACACAAGAATGGAGCTATATACAGGAGGTACCAGTACCAGATCAATGTACAGCTATATACAGGAGTACCAGTACCAGATCAATGTGGAGCTATATACAGGGAGTACCAGTACCAGATCAATGTACAGCTATATACAGGGAGTACCAGATCAATGTGCTGCTATATACAGGAGTACCAGTACCAGATCAATGTGGAGCTATATACAGGGAGTACCAGTACCAGATCAATGTACAGCTATATACAGGGAGTACCAGATCAATGTGCTGCTATATACAGGAGTACCAGTACCAGATCAATGTGGAGCTATATACAGGAGTACCAGATCAATGTGCAGCTATATACATGGAGTACCAGATCTATGTGCAAAGGTATGAGGTAGATATGTACATGAAGGCAGGTTAAGTGACTAGGCATCAGGATAGATAATAATAAGGTATTTGAGGTAGATATGTACATGAAGGCAGGTTAAGTGACTAGGCATCAGGATAGATAATAATAAGGTATTTGAGGTAGATGTGTACATGAAGGCAGGTTAAGTGACTAGGCATCAGGATAGATAATAAGGTATTTGAGGTAGATGTGTACATGAAGGCAGGGTAAAGTGACTAGGCATCAGGGTAGATAATAATAAGGTATTTGAGGTAGATGTGTACATGAAGGCAGGGTTAAGTGACTAGGCATCAGGATAGATAATAATAAGGTATGAGGTAGATGTGTACATGAAGGCAGGTTAAGTGACTAGGCATCAGGATAGATAATAATAAGGTATGAGGTAGATGTGTACATGAAGGCAGGTTAAGTGACTAGGCATCAGGATAGATAATAATAAGGTATGAGGTAGATGTGTACATGAAGGCAGGTTAAGTGACTAGGCATCAGGATAGATAATAATAAGGTATGAGGTAGATGTGTACATGAAGGCAGGTTAAGTGACTAGGCATCAGGATAGATAATAATAAGGTATGAGGTAGATATGTACATGAAGGCAGGTTAAGTGACTAGGCATCAGGATAGATAATAATAAGGTATTTGAGGTAGATGTGTACATGAAGGCAGGTTAAGTGACTAGGCATCAGGATAGATAATAATAAGGTATTTGAGGTAGATGTGTACATGAAGGCAGGTTAAGTGACTAGGCATCAGGATAGATAATAAGGTATTTGAGGTAGATGTGTACATGAAGGCAGGGTTAAGTGACTAGGCATCAGGATAGATAATAATAAGGTATTTGAGGTAGATGTGTACATGAAGGCAGGGTTAAGTGACTAGGCATCAGGATAGATAAAGAGTAAAATAAACAGAGTAGCAGCAGTAAATTATGAGCGTAGTGTGTGTGTGTTATGTGTGTGTGCATGTGAATGTGTGTGGGTTTTATTTGACCAAAACAATCATTTTAAACCTTGCTTAGATTTGTATATGATCACAGGTCTCCATTATGCGTGGAAATACTTGGGAACAGATTTCCAAAATTAAAATCACTTGAAGCTGATTTCCTGGTGTTTTTAGTCTTATGTCCAACAATGAATATTCTATTTTATTTCAAATAAAACCCCCCGCGTGCCAAATTCATCCCAAAAGTTGGGGAACCATGGTCTACTCCACTTAAGTTCCTCTGTAGTCTGATTCCAACCATCTTTTCACAAAACGATTTTACTCAATACACATTTTAGTCATTTAGCAGACGCTCTTATCCAGAGCGACTTACAGTTAGTGAATACATATTTTTTTAATACTGGCACCCCGTGGGAACTCATGTAGTATTTCTTCAGGGGTCCTAGCCAGCATTGTTGATTTCTTCAGGTGTCCTAACCAGTAAGGTTGTTGAGAATGTGAGGGGGGGTGGTGTGATAACAGGATTCTAAATGCAACACTTACAAGCAGCAGCAGCTCCTCTGACTCACCACTAAGCCACATACATCCTGTTCTGTTGAGAGGGAGTGGAGGGGCAGGCTCACTGAAGAGGGGAATCACAATAATTAAAACATACCTTGCTTTACTGTACTTGTGTCAAAGAATTTAACAATTCAGTAGCAAACTGATGGTAAACAGACTTAAGTTTTAGTTGAGATGGAGAGAAAGACACTTTAGGCACACCCAGGGATGAGAGGTTGAGGGTGGTCAGGAGAGGTTTAGGGGGGTGAGGGGTAGAGGAGGGTCAGGAGAGGTTGAGAAGAGGCTGGGGGTGAGGAGAGGGGTTATTCCACAGCAGCGTGCCAAAAGCTGAGGACAGAACCTCTGACATCACAGGTCACTCACCCTCCTCCTACGACAGCAAGGATAATTTGTTTCTCTAAGGAATTACTCAGCTTCAGGGGCAGAAATCAAATTAGCCTGTAGCCAGCCATGGAGCCATATACTGACAGCCTGTAGCCAGCCATGGTGCCATATACTGACAGCCTGTAGCCAGCCATGGTGCCATATACTGACAGCCTGTAGCCAGCCATGGTGCCATATACTGACAGCCAGTAGCCAGCCATGGTGCCATATACTGACAGCCAGTAGCCAGCCATGGAGCCATATACTGACAGCCTGTAGCCAGCCATGGTGCCATATACTGACAGCCAGTAGCCAGCCATGGTGCCATATACTGACAGCCTGTAGCCAGCCATGGTGCCATATACTGACAGCCAGTAGCCAGGCATGGTGCCATATACTGACAGCCAGTAGCCAGCCATGGTGCCATATACTGACAGCCAGTAGCCAGGCATGGTGCCATATACTGACAGCCAGTAGCCAGCCATGGTGCCATATACTGACAGCCAGTAGCCAGGCATGGAGCCATATACTGACAGCCAGTAGCCAGCCATGGTGCCATATACTGACAGCCAGTAGCCAGGCATGGAGCCATATACTGTCAGCAGAGTGATACACAAAGGGGCTTCCTCAATAGACACACACAAAAACATACATGTTGATGAACACAGTTGAAAGGAAGAATCGAGAACACTTGAGATTCAGTCAATGATTATTTCTCACTAGCTCAACCAACTACAGTGAGGGAAGAATGTATTTGATCCCCTGCTGATTTTGTACGTTTGCCCACTGACAAAGAAATGATCAGTGTATAATTTTAATGGTAGGTTTATTTGAACAGTGAGAGACAGAATAACAACAAAAAAATCCAGAAAAACGCATGTCAAAAATGTTATAAATTGATTTGCATTTTAATGGAGGCAAATAAGTATTTGACCCCCTCTCAATCAGAAAGATTTCTGGCTCCCAGATGTCTTTTATACAGGTAACAAACTGAGATTAGGAGCACACTCTTAAAGGGAGTGCTCCTAATCTCAGTTTGTTACCTGTATGAAAGACACCTGTCCACAGAAGCAATCAATCAATCAGATTCCAAACTCTCCACCATGGTCAAGACCAAAGAGCTCTCCAAGGATGTCAGGGACAAGATTGTAGACCTACACAAGGCTGGAATGGGCTACAAGACCATCACCAAGCAGCTTGGTGAGAAGGTCACAACAGTTGGTGCGATTATTTGCAAATGGAAGAAACACAAAATAACTGTCAATCTCCCTCAGCCTGGGGCTCCATGCAAGATCTCACCTCGTGGAGTTGCAATGATCATGAGAACGGTGAGGAATCAGCCCAGAACTACACGGGAGGATCTTGTCAATGATCTCAAGGCAGCTGGGACCATAGTCACCAAGAAAACAATTGGTAACACACTATGCCGTGAAGGACTGAAATCCTGCAGCGCCTGCAAGGTCCCCCTGCTCAAGAAAGCACATATACAGGGCCGTCTGAAGTTTGCCAATGAACATCTGAATGATTCAGAGGAGAACTGGGTGAAAGTGTTGTGGTCAGATGAGACCAAAATCGAGCTCTTTGGCATCAACTCAACTCGCCGTGTTTGGAGGAGGAGGAATGCTGCCTATGACTCCAAGAACACCATACCCACCGTCAAACATGGAGGTGGAAACATTATGCTTTGGGGGTGTTTTTCTAAGGGGACAGGACAACTTCACCGCATCAAAAGAGACGATGGACGGGGCCATGTACCGTCAAATCTTGGGTGAGAAGCTCCTTCCCTCAGCCAGGGCATTGAAAATGGGTCGTGGATGGGTATTCCAGCATGACAATGACCCAAAACACACGGCCAACACAACAAAGGAGTGGCTCAAGAAGGAGCACATTAAGGTCCTGGAGTGGCCTAGCCAGTCTCCAGACCTTAATCCCATAGAAAATCTGTGGAGGGAGCTGAAGGTTCGAGTTGCCAAACATCAGCCTCCAAACCTTAATGACTTGGAGAAGATCTGCAAAGAGGAGTGGGACAAAATCCCTCCTGAGATGTGTGCAAACCTGGTGGCCAACTACAAGAAACGTCTGACCTCTGAATGCCAACAAGGGTTTTGCCACCAAGTACTAAGTCATGTTTTGCAGAGGGGTCAAATACTTATTTCCCTCATTAAAATGCAAATCAATTTATAACATTTTTGAAATGCGGTTTTCTGGATTTTTTTTGTTATTCTGTCTCTCACTGTTCAAATAAACCTACCATTAAAATTATAGACTGATAATCTCTTTGTCAGAGGGCAAACTTACAAAATCAGCAGGGGATCAAATACTTTTTTCCCCTCACTGTACAGACCACTAAGTTATACACAAGTACTCAATCCATTTGATGTTCACACCATCAGACCATGAATGAACTCTTCTTCATTCATTAAATATCAATTTATTCATGTTTCCTTTCTCTCTCTTACAAAGAATACAATCTGGTCTACAAAAGAGCGTGGAAAGTGTTGGTCAAAATACAGGAGAACGCTAATCCAGGAGACAGTGTCCCCCGACCCCGTCTCAAAATCATCCCTCCCCTTGTCACTCCTTGTATCCGTATCCATGTCCATGTGACCCCCCCCCCCCCCCCCCAAACCCTGTTCCTGTTCCCTGTCTGACAACACTGTCATAGTGTTACCCCAGGCCGGTGCATGTTATGTTACCTCACAGAAAAAAACAGAAAAATCACCACACGCTAAACTACAGTGGAACTGATAGACTGATAACAATAAAGGTGGATGGATCACAACCCCCCCCCCCCCCAAAAAAAAAACAACAACAACATCTGAGATAGCGCTGTGTTCTCTTCTTTGTTAGCGTTGTCAGCGGATATTTGTGCCGGCCGTCTCCCACCCACCAGACAGACTCCTCCAGCCCCACGACCCAGCCTGCCCTGCTCTGAGTCCCCCCTGAGGGTGGTGTTGGCTGGGCTGGTGCAGGACCAGGTGGGGCTCTGGCCTCCAGACTGGCCCTCTCTGAGCTGGGCCCCAGAAGCAGGGGGGGAGGGGCGATGAGGGGGTGGGGCAGGTCAAGGAGAGGCGGGGCGGGGCTATATCAGGGTCAGCTGATGCCAACTTGCTGAGCCCACTGGCAGGGCACCGGAGGAGTGGTGAGGATGGAGGTGGCGACCCCCTCAGGCCACATAGTGGTACTGGTTGGGACTCTCCTTGTCTCTCTCCATGTAGTCTCTGTCAATCAGCGACTCAATCCGCTTCTTTAGGTCTCCAGGCTGAGGAGAGAACACACAGAGGAATGACACTGAAGGGTGTGTAGCTTAGAGCTGTGGGTGGGTGTGTAGCTTAGAGCTGTGGGTGGGTGTGCAGCCTAGAGCTGTGGGTGGGTGTGCAGCCTAGAGCTGTGGGTGGGTGTGCAGCCTAGAGCTGTGGGTGGGTGTGCAGCCTAGAGCTGTGGGTGGGTGTGCAGCCTAGAGCTGTGGGTGGGTGTGCAGCCTAGAGCTGTGGGTGGGTGTGCAGTGCAGTTTACTTGATGTGTGCCTGTTTTGTGGCTATATTTCAGGGTAGGAAAAAACAAAAGCGAAAGAAAGAAAGAGAGTACCTTGACGGGGAACTTGAGCTGGTTGTACAGTTCTGACACCAGCAGGTTGTGGCTCAGGGTTTTCCTCATCTTCATGATGCGGACCACGGCCGCGTCTATCTGGTACTGTCTGTCCTGGAACACACGCTCAGTGGTGCTCACCTGCTCCTCAACCTGGACACACACACAGACGCATGAACAGAGACACACAGAAACAGAAACACACAGAAATGTAACTCCACATTTATTTTCTGTGAACGTTTCACTTCCTGAATTAAAATGACTCCAACCCTAGAGTTGACTGTGTGGACGCATGCTGGCCACACTACCTCCAATGACGAAAGGGTGGAACTCAAAACTTACGCAATAAGATTTAATGACGGGAACTTGATGAGGTGTCAACCCTCAGGGGAAAGCCCCATTATATGGATGAGTTAGTCTGATATAACAGATAGTAATTATGACCCATGGGGCGGCGCACAATTGGCCCAGCGTCGTCCATGGTAGGGGAGGGAATGGCCGGCAGGGATGTAGCTCAGTTGGTAGAGCATGGCGTTTGCAACGCCAGGGTTGTGGGTTCGATTCCCACAGAGGGTTGGGAAAAAAATTATGTATGCATTCACTAACTGTAAGTCGCTCTGGATAAGAGCGTCTGCTAAATGACTAAAATGTAAAAAATGTAATGATTAGAGGAGTCAGCAGTCCTTTCTGTAGGCAGGCACAGACTTGACACAACGTTGTGTAGGAATGACAGAATAAGAGGGGTGAGAGCGGTGTTAACCCTACCGTTTCCTTCAGAGAGCGGCGTTAACCCTACCGTTTCCTTCAGAGAGCGGCGTTAACCCTACCGTTTCCTTCAGAGCGCGGTGTTAACCCTACCGTTTCCTTCAGAGCGCGGTGTTAACCCTACCGTTTCCTTCAGGGCGCGGTGTTAACCCTACCGTTTCCTTCAGAGCGCGGTGTTAACCCTACAGTTTCCTTCAGAGCGAGAGAGAGGTGTAAACCCTACCGTTTCCTTCATCTGAATCTGGTTGATCTTGATGCGGAACAGTTTGTGTCTGAAGTCGTTGTTGAAGTTGAAGCGGTCTCCGTCCTCTATGTCCTTCCCCCGGGGACTCTTATTGAGGACGCGCGCCTTCCCACAGGCCAGAGACTGCAGGGTACGCCTCAACTCACCCTCCTCTGGGGACGGAAGGGGGACACAGATCACGGTTACACTACTTCCTTTCATCAAGTTTAAAATGGGGAAATTACATGCATTTCATGAATGAGCCGAAATGTTATTGACCCCAAATATGCAATGAGATGAATGTAGAGAGAGAAAAAGGTGACTAGAAGGGCACTCAACATGTACTGCACTGACAAATCACTGATTGGTTGAAAGAAATTGATAATGAGAAGATTGTGGGAGCTGTACTGTTAGATTTCAGTGCAGCCTTTGACATGATTGACCATAACCTGTTGTTGAGAAAACGTGTGTGTTATGGCTTTTCATCGTGGATTCAGAGCCATCTAATAGAACTCAGATGGTTCTTTAATGGAAGCTTCTAACGTCAAACATGTAAAGTGTGGTGTTCCGCAGGGCAGCACTCTAGGCCCTCTACTCTTTTCTATATTGAACAAAAATATAAAAACGCAACATGTAAAGTGTTTAGTCCAATGTTTCATGCGCTGAAATAAGACCCCAGAAATGTTCCATATGCACAAAAGCTTATTTCTCTCAGATTGTGCTCAAATTTGTTTACATCCCCATTAGTGAACATTTCTCCTTCGCCAAGATAATCCATCCACCTGACAGGTGTGGCATATCAAGAAGCTGATTAAACAGCATGATCATTACACAGGTGCACCTTGTGCTGGGGACAATAAAAGGCCACTCTAAAATGTACAGTTGTGTCACAACACAATATCACAGGTGTCTCAAGTTAAGGGAGCATGCAATTGTAATGCTGACTGCAGGAATATCCACCAGAGCTGTTGCCAGATAATGAAATGTTCATTTCTCTACCATAAACTGCACCCAACGTTGTTTTAGAAAATTTGGCAGTACGTCCAACTGGCCTCACAACCGCAGACCACCTGTAACCACGCCAGCCCAAGACCGCCACATCTGGCTTCACCTGCTGGATCGTCTGAGACCAGCCACCAGGACAGCTGATGAAACTGAGGAGTATTTCGGTCTGTAATAAAGCCCTTTTGTGGGGAAAAACTCATTCAGATTGGCTGGGCCTGGCTCCGCCCCTGCCCAGTCGTGAAATCCATAGATTAGGGCCTAATGAATTTATTTGATTTTAATTGACTGATTTCCTTATATGAACTGTAACTCCGTAAAATCATTGAAAGTGTTGCATGAACATGTTTTTTCAGTATATGTTTACCAATGACCTGCCACTGGCATTAAAACAAAGCATGTGTGTCAATGTACGCTGATGATTCAACCATATACGCATCAGCAACCACAGCCAATGAAGTTACTGAAACCCTTAAGAAAGAGTTGCAGTCTGTTTTGGAATCGGTGGCCAGTAATAAACTGGTCCTGAACATCTCTAAAACTAAGAGCATCGTATTTGGTTTAAATAATTCCCTAAGTTCTAGACCTCAGCTGAATCTGGTAATGAATGGTGTGGTTGTTGAACAAGTTCAGGAGACTAAATTACTTGGTGTTACCTTAGATTGTAAACTGTCATGGTCAAAACATATAGATTCAATGGTTGTAAAGATGGGGAGAGGTCTGTCCGTAATTGATGCTCTGCTTTTATCTTGATTATTGTCCAGTCATGTGGTCCAGTGCTGCAAAGAAAGACCTATTTAAGCTGCAGCTGGCCTAGAACAGAGCGGCACGTCTTGCTCTTCATTGTAATCAGAGGGCTGATATAAATACTATGCATGCCAGTCTCTCTTGGCTAAGAGTTGAGGAGACTGACTGCATCACTTCTTGTTTTTATAAAAACACATTGTGTTGGAAATACCAAATGGTTTGCATAGTCAACTTACATACAGCACTGACACACACACTTACCCCACCAGAAATGCCACCGGCTGTCTTTTCACAGTCCCCAGGTCCAGAACAAATTCAAGGAAACGTACAGTATTATACAGAGCCATGAGTGCATGGAACGCCCGTCTTAAATAGCGCAAGTGAACAGCAAACCTGGTTTAAAAAACAAATAAAGCAACAGCTCGCGGCACAACGCCTCTCCCCATGTGACCTACTTGTTGTGTGTATGTACTGACGTATGATGTACAGTTGAAGCCAGAAGTTTACATGCACCTTAGCCAAATACATTTAAACTCAGTTTCACAATTCCTGACATTTAATCCTAGTCAAAATTCCCTGTCTTAGGTCAGTTAGGATCATCACTTTATTTTAAGAAATGTGAAATGTCAGAATAATAGTAGAGAGAATTATTTATTTCAGCTTTTATTTCTTTCATCACATTCCCAGTGGGTCAGAAGTTTACATACACTCAATTAGTATTTGGTAGCATTGCCTTTAAATTGTTTAACTTGGGCCAAACGTTTCGGATAGCCTTCCACAAGCTTCCCACAATAAGTTGGGTGAATTTTGGCCCATTCCTCCTGACAGAGCTGGTGTAACTGTCAGGTTTGTAGGCCTCCTTGCTCGCACACGCTTTCTCAGTTCTGCCCACACATTTTCTATAGGATTGAGGTCAGGGCTTTGTGATGGCCACTCCAATACCTTGACTTTGTTGTCCTTAAGCCATTTTGCCACAACTTTGGAAGTATGCTTGGGGTCATTGTCCATTTGGAAGACCCATTTGCGACCAAGCTTTAACTTCCAGACTGGTGTCTTGAGATGTTACTTCAATATATCCACATAATTTTCCTTCCTCATGATGCCATCTATTTTGTGAAGTGCACCAGTCCCTCCTGCAGCAAAGCACCCCGACAGCATGATGCTGCCACCCTGTGCTTCATGGTTGGGATGGTGTTCTTCGGCTTACAAGCAACCCCCTTTTTACTCCAAACATAACGATGGTCATTATGGGTAAACAGTTCTATTTTTGTTTCATCAGACCAGAGGACATTTCTCCAAAAAGTACGATCTTTGTCCCCATGTGCAGTTGCAAACCGTAGTCTGGCTTTTTTATGGCGGTTTTGGAGCAGTGGCTTCTTCCTTGCTGAGCGGCCTTTCAGGTTATGTCGATATAGGACTCGTTTTACTGTGGATTTAGATACTTTTGTACCTGTTTCCTCCAGCATCTTCACAAGGTCCTTTGCTGTTGTTCTGGGATTGATGATACAGTGAATTATAAGTGAAATAATCTGTCTGTAAACAATTGTTGGAAAAATTACTTGTGTCCTGCACAAAGTAGATGTCCTTACCGACTTGCCAAAACTATAGTTTGTTAACAAGAAATTTGTGGAGTGGTTGAAAAACGAGTTTTAATAACTCCAACCTAAGTGTATGTAAACTTCCGACTTCAACTATATGTGGAACTGATAGACGCGCACACACACTACATGTTAATGTTTTTAAATGTCTGTAAATTGTAAAGTATTTTGTCTGTAATGTCTTTTTCATTATGTGTCGGGCCCCAGTAAGAATAGCTGTCGCCATTGGCTAAAGGGGATCCTAATAAATGTAATCGAGAGAAAGAGAAGCTGCACCTATGATGAAAGAAAGAAGAAGAGAAAGAAAAGCTGTACCTATGAAGACAGACAGAGGAGAAGCTGTACCTATGCCAGTGGCTGATTTGATCTCCTCCATGCTGAACTCCTCCCCCTCGTTGAACATCAGTAGTACCAACGTCTGGAACAGAGACACTTGCAGCTCCTTCTTACCCTGTAGACAGACGCACACAGTTATTGAGACGCGTCTAGAACAGACACCCGCAGCTTCTTCTTGTGAAAGACGCATTAGAAATTTGAAACAAAAAAAGCTGTCCATCTTCTAGGACAGTGTTGCTCTGGTCCTTTCACTCGCACCTCTTTAAACTCAGTCTTCAGAACAGCGTGGCCCAGGGTGGGCTGCCACTGGAGCTTCCTGCCACTGTGTTTCCCCAGATAGAACAGCTTGAATACCTCCTGGAGCTTCACCATCTGGGGGGAGAGGGGGCATAGAAACTTTATCTATGCTTCATAAAAACCTAACCAACACTCAGATTAGATTTACACATCCTGCAATACTTTTTGCTAGCATACACACACCACCCAACCACACACAGACAGACAGACCTCAGGGGGCAGGTGGACCTCCATAGGAGTGTATGAGGGCCAGTAGCCCATGGTGAGGATGTTGACCGTCAGCTCCATCTGGCTGGGCTCACTCTGGTTCTGGGTGTACTGAAGGAGACAGACAACCTGATTCAATACATTCATGTACTGGGGGAGGCAACCTTATTCAATACATTAATGTCCTGTAGTGGGAGAAAGTCAAATCCTTAATTTCTTGGAAAACGGTGTGTAAAGAACAGTCTGGAACTAGTAGAGCTAATGCTAACATTATGATGAGTTTTGATGAAGCAGCTGTTGTTCTGCCACCAGTCATTGCAGTAGCCTCCAGAGTCAGCTGCTATGCTCATCTGACCCAACGATACATTCACAGAGAAACTTGTTGATCTACGGACTGATTACTGATAAGTCAGTTCCTCTTAATTGTGTGGCTGCAGGTCTACAACTTCAGGGTAATTTAAAACAGGCTAAGCAAGCTTTTTATGTAAGTGAAGGAAGAGCTAGCTAACCATGTCAGTAAGCTAGCTAGCTAACCATGTCAGTAAGCTAGCTAGCTAACCATGTCAGTAAGCTAGCTAGCTACCATGTCAGTAAGCTAGCTAGCTAACCATGTCAGTAAGCTAGCTAGCTAGCTAGCTAGCTAGCTAGCTACAACAGCTCCACAGCTGAAAGTCACGGCACTAGCGACCAATGTCCTGGCACAAAACTTGTACAGGAGATAGCTACCGGTTTGTTTTTATTTTCTCACAATTGCAAACTATTAAATCCCTGTCACAACATTTTTGTACTAATTTAGCTAGCTATTCTTCCGATTTCATGGAGTCATACGAGAGCGCAGTGATTAGGAACTACAGTATGTTTTGATTTTAATGGCGGACGCTCAATATTCAAATACGAGTTCCAAGTTTACAAGACAGATCGGTTGAGGGACGAGTGTCACGGAGGAGTGACGCCATCTGACGTGAGACAATGTTGTCATCTACGATTCACTGATGGTAAATCTATTACAGCAACTACTATAGTGATATCGATGAGTCTGTGTGTTAACCTGTTTGAACTGGATCATGACGTCTTTGGAGAGCTCCATGTCCTTAAACATCCCCTCCAGCTTACTGGTGAAGGCCGCTCCACACTCTGCAGGGACAGGAAGCCACAAACCATCACACTCACTTCCCGTTAACAGGTTTTATACAGTAATACAGTGCATGACTTCGTGACTTGGGGTGGTGCTTCTACAGTCACACACCAGAGATAGTGACCATTGAGTTTAACAAACCACCGATAGGCTGACCTCTGCTGATGTCTTCACTAGCAGTTGAAGCAAAGTCAAACATTGAAAAACAACCTATGCGGGTACATTTTGACATTGGCGGGTAAGATGTTTATTTCAGCAGCCATGTTGGCGGGTGGTCATTTCTTAAAAACGCAAGCATTTCACTCGCATTTGCAAATACAAATGTAGTTAGAAGTCAAGAACGAGCACATTTATAGCTAAATAAAATGCTGCAGTAGCTGTTTTGAAAGTGTTCTCGTTTTGTTTCATAGATGGTAGATACATCACACAAAGAACTAGGAATCATATATATATATCTCCCGCGACGCGCAGCAACACTGCCTGGCTGGGGGGCACTGGGATTTAGACGCGTTGCACACAGGCATAGAAGTCTGTCTAATTTACTGGAAAGTCTACTGAAGTGAGACTTTGTCCTTGTGTTTCTTGGCCATTTACAATGTTTTGTTCACAAGCTAGGTTGTTTTTCAATGTTTGACTTTGCTTCAACTGCTAGTGAAGACATCAGCTACTAGTCAGATGATGTAGTCTAATATCTCACAGGCACACTGTCACTGACCACTCCAGCGGCTGGAGTACCACCGCTGCCTCCGTAACCTCCCGCCCTTAAAAGGGGCAGCTTAACATCCTTCTCATCTGAGATATTTTGGTTAAAAGACTTGGGTCACAAAATGAAATAAATATTAGCAATATACCACATCACTGCTTACTAGTAATACATTTATTGTTTTAGAAACATAACGAAGGTTAAAAAAACTGGAGTGGCAGGTAGATTTTTTTATCTACCTGCCACAGTGGCTGGTAGACCAACAAGTTCCTTTCTGGCCCTGCCCACAGACAAAGCTTGCCACAACACAGATACCATAACATGTGATGGTGACAAACTTGTGATTTTGGAGATCACTGCATTGTATCCTGTTATCATACATTGTTGACGTTTGGACAACTTACCGTGTTTGAGTTTGGACAGCATGGACTTCTCAGCGTCCACCGAGGCACTCTTCCCCACCAGCAGGCGTTTGGCTAGGTCCTTCTTATAAAAGGCCTCAAACACATCCTTCCCATGGATGAAGCGGAAGATGATCATGATCTTGTCTAGAATTCTCTCCAGCTCCTCCTCTGTAGCCTCCTTGTTGCCCGCCCGCAATTTACAGTCCACGTACTTCGCTGTGCAGAGACAGGACACCACCAGTTAGATAAAACATACAGGAAACACTCAAACATAACTGGTGTGGGACCCCTGACTGGTATCTTAAGCAATGGAGCAAAAGTCCTTTGTTTTAAGATTCCAGGACCCTTTAAATATCTCCTGCTCTGGCTCTTTACACCCACAGCAGTCTCGTGTCCTCACCAATGAGCTCAGCAGGTTTGTTGGGTCTGTTGTTGATGAAGGCTTCGAAGGCCTCCTTCATAGCATTGATGAAGCTCTCGTTCCTGTTGAAACAGCCCTGGGCCACGTTGTCCATCTTATCCTTAAAGTCCAATAGGTCTTGAACCATGTCCACACCTGCGGGGAAGGAAACCACAAAAACCCTCACACTCATTCCCGTAACAGGTTTTAAGGTAAAACAGTGATGATTGTGACTTGGGGGGGTGCTTTACAGTCACAACCCCCGGGAAATGACCATTGAGTTTAACAAAAACCCCCGATAGGGGCCCCCTGCGATGTCTTTTATAGCAGTTGAAGCAAAGTCAAACATTGAAAAAAACCCATCGGGTAATTTTTACATTGGGGGGGGGGAAGATTTTATTTCAGCGCATGTTGGGGGGTGGTCATTTCTTAAAAAGCGAGCTTTCCTGCATTTTCAAAAAAGAATGTAGTTAGAAGTCAAGAATGAGCCTTTGCTTAAAAATGCAGGCTGTTTTGAAAATGTTTTTCGTTTGTTTTAGATGGTGAAAAATCACCAAATAATAGGAATTTATAAAAATGCTATGAAAAAAGTATTTGCCCCCTTTTAATTTTCTCTACATTTGAAAATTTTTGATATGAAAGTTATCAGATCTTCAACCAAAATAATATTGAAAAGGGAAAATAAGGAACAAAAAACACAACAATTCATATTTTTTCATAAAAAAAAGTTATGCAAAACCCAATTCCCTGTTGAAAAATAATTGCCCCCTTTACACTCAAAAATGGTTTTAAAATTTTCGCAAGACTCCAACCAAAGCTTCTGTAGTTTTTGTCAGTCTCCACGTCGGTGGAGGAAGTTGGCCCACTCTTTTCCCTCGAACTGCTTTTTAAACCCAGGACGTGTGGGTTTTTTAAGCATGAATGCCCTGTTTCATCCCGCCAAACATCTCAATTGGGGTTAGGTTTTTGGACTTTGACTGGGCCCCTTCCCAAAAAATTCCCCCCTTTGTTCCCTTTTTTCAATTTTTCAGTAACTTGATTGTGTGTTTTGGGGTCATTTTGCTGCATGCCCCCGTTCGCTTCAGCCAGGGAGGCCCTGACCTTCCCTGTAGAATTCTCTGATACAGAGAGAATTCTGGTTCCTTCTATTAGGCAAAGTCGTCGGGGCCTGGGCAGAAGCATCCCCCAAACATACCACCCCCCCCCTTGACCTTTTGGAGATGGGGTTTTCGTGGAATGCGTGTTTGGTTTTCGCCCGGGATAATGGGACCCATTGTCCAAAAAGTTGATCGTTTGCCAAAAAGCACCTGGAGATAATCAAGACTCTTGGAGAACGTTTTATGGACAGATATTCAAAAATATAAATTTTTGGAAGACATGGTTCCGAATTCCTGGCGAAAACCCCAAATCTTTTCTTCCACTAAGAAAATATACCAAAAGGGCAAGCAGGTGGTGGTGGGTAAAGGTTTGGGGATGCCCTTTTCGTAGGACCCGGACGACTTGCCTTAAAAAGGAACCCTGAAATTTGTCTGACAGGAATTCTACAGGGGAATGTCAGACCAAAAACCCTCTGTGAGTGAACGCAAAAGGGTAGAGCAAGAAATGATCCAAAACACACAAAAAGTCTACATGAAAAAATTTCTTAAAAAAGCAAAAAATTTTAAGTTTTGGAAAAGGCTGTCAAAGCCGACCTAAATCCCAATTGAGTGTTTTTGGCGGACTTGAAAACAGCATGCATTTTGAAAAAACCCCACGTAATGAGTTAAAGCTTTTTTGCAGGAAGAGTGGGCCAACATTTCCCCACACGGTGAGACGATCAACAACTACAGGAAGATTTGGTGGGGTCAAAGCAGTAAAGGGGCACAACCCGTTTTTTGAGTTAAGGGGGGAATTTCTTTTTTACACAGGGGTTGGTGTTGATCTTTTTTTAGAAATAAATAGTAATTTGGGTTTTTATTGTTCACTTATGTTCCCTTTATCTAATATTAGGTTTTGGTTGAAATTGATAACATTCATATCACAAAAATGCAAAAGTAAGAAAAAATTTGAAAGGGGGGGAAAAACCCTTTTTTTATAGACTTATATCTCCCCCGGGCGCAGCAACCTGCCTGGCTGGGGGACGGGATTTAGACACGCTGCACACAGGCATAGAAGTCTGTCTAATTTACTGGAAAGTCTATGAAGTGAGACTTTGTCCTTGTGTTTCTTGGCCATTTACATTGTTTTGTTCACAAGCTAGGTGTTTTTCAATGTTTGACTTTGCTTCAACTGCTAGTGAAGACATCAGCTACTAGTCAGATGATGTAGTCTAATATCTCACAGGCACACTGTCATGACCACTCCAGCGGCTGGAGTACCACCGCTGCCTCCGTAACCTCCGCCCTTAAAAAGGGGCAGCTTACATCCTTCTCATCTGAGATATTTGGTTAAAAGACTTGGGTCACAAAATGAAATAAATATTAGCAATATACCACATCACTGCTTACTAGTAATACATTTATTGTTTAGAAACATAACGAAGGTTAAAAAAAACTGGAAGTGGCAGGTAGATTTTTTATCTACTGCACAGTGGCTGGTAGACCAACAAGTCCCTTTCCTGGGCCCCGCCCACAGACAAAGCTTGCCACCCAAAACAGATACCCTAACATGTGATGGTGACAAAACTTGTGATTTTGGAGATCAACTGCATTGTATCCCGTTATCATACATTGTGACGTTTGGACAACTTACCGTGTTTGAGTTTGGACAGCAGGGGCTTCTCAGCGTCCAACGAGGCACCTTTCCCACCAGCAGGCGTTTGGCTAGGTCTTCTTATAAAAGGCCTCAAACACATCCTTCCCATGGATGAAGCGGAAGATGATCATGATTTGTCTAGAATTCTCTCCAGTCCTCCTCTGTAGCCTCCTGGTTGCCCGCCCGCAATTTACAGTCCACGTACTTCGCTGTGCAGAGACAGGACCCCACAGTTAGATAAAACATACAGGAAAAAACTCAAACATAACTGGTGTGGGGCCCTGGGCTGGTATCTTAAGCAATGGAGCAAAAGTCCTTTTTTTTAAGATTCCAGGACCCTTTAAATATCTCCTGCTCTGGCTCTTTACACCCCCCAGCGTCCGTGTCCTCACCAATGAGCCCCAAACAGGTTGTTGGTCTGTTTTTGATGAAGGCTTCGAAGGCCCCTTCATAGCATTTATGAAGCTCTCGTTCCTGTTGAAACAGCCCGGGCCACGTTGTCCATTTATCCTTAAAGTCCAAATAGGTCTTGAACCATGTCCTTATCCTTCTCGGGGTGCCCACAATCTCAAACCCCAAAACTCTGTTTGGAGACACCTCAGTGAGACAGGAATCAATAGAAGTGTTTCAGAGTGAGAAAAGGGCAGAGGGGGAGAGAGAGACAGACAGGCAGAGAGGAGGAGACAGAGAGGAGAGAGAGACAGAGAGGAGAGAGAGGGACAGACAGAGAGAGGGGGAGAGAGACAGAGGAGAGAAAATACCTTGATGTAGTCTCTCCAGTGCTGCAGCAGAGTGGGGGTCCTCCCTTTACCTTACTGAAAGCTGGTAGAGCAGAGCCCAGCTCCATCACACGGTTACCATCTACCAGAATACTGAGACCTGGAGGAGAGGGTCAATATCACACGGTTTCCCTCTACCAGAATAAATGAGACCTGGAGGAGAGGGTCAATATACACGGTTACCATCTACCAGAATACTGAGACCTGGAGGAGAGGGTCAATATCACACGGTTACCATCTACCAGAATACTGAGACTGGAGGAGAGGGTCAAATCACACGGTTACCCTCTACCAGAATACTGAGACCTGGAGGAGAGGGTCAATATCACACGGTTACCATTTTACCAGAATATGAGACCTGGAGGGAGGGGGGTCAATATCACACGGTTACCATCTACCAGAATACTGAGACCTGGGAGGAGAGGGTCAATATCACACGGTTACCATCTACCAGAATACTGAGACCTGGAGGAGAGGGTCAATATCAACGGTTACCATCTACCAGAATACTGAGAACCTGGAGGAGAGGGTCAATATCACAGGTTACCATCTACCAGAATACTGAGACCTGGAGGAGAGGGTCAATATCACACGGGGTTTCCATCTACCAGAATACTGAGACCCGGAGGAGAGGGTCAATATCACACGGTTACCATCTACCAGAAAACTGAGACCGGAGGAGAGGGCAATATCACACGGTTACCATCTACCAGAATACTGAGACCTGGAGGGAGAGGGTCAATATCACACGGTTACCATCTACCAGAATACTGAGACCTGGAGGAGAGGGTCAATATCACACGGTTACCCTCTACCAGAATACTGAGACCTGGAGGAGAGGGTCAATAACACGGTTACCATCTAACCAGAACACTGAGACCTGGAGGAGAGGGTCAATATTTACACGGTTACCATCTACCAGACAATGAGACTGGAGGAGAGGGGCAAATATCACACGGTTACCATCTACCAGAATACTGAGACCTGGAGGAGAGGGTCAATATCACACGGTTACCATCTACCAGAATACTGAGGGCCTGGAGGAGAGGGTCAATATCACACGGTTACCCTTACCAGAATACTGAGACCTGGAGGGAGGGTCAAATATACAGTTACAAAAACCAGAATAAATGAGACTGAGGAGAGGGTCAAATCACACGGTTACCATACCAGAATCTGAGCGGAGGAAGGGTCAATTTCACACGGTTACCCCTTTCCAGAATAAGAGACGGAGGGAAAGGGGCAAACACACGGTTACCATCACCGGGAAAACTGAACTGGAGGAGAGGGTCAATATCACACGGTTTCCATTACCGAAAAAGGACCTGGGGAAAGGGAATTTCAACGGTACCAATTTTCCGAAAACTGAGACCCGGAGGGGAGGGGTCAATACACACGGTTCCATTTCCAGAATACGGGGGCCTGGAGGGAGGGGTAAAAATCACCGGTTTCCATTACCAGACAACGTCTGAGCAGCGCAGCTGGGTCATGCAGCAAGACAATGATCCAAAAACACACAATCAAGTCTACATGAAATTGCTAAAACGCAACAAATTTGAAGTTTTGGAATGGCCTAGTCAAAGTCCAGACCTAATCCCAATTGAGATGTTGTGGCAGGACTTGAAACTAGCAGTGCATGCTTGAAAACCCACACGTCACTGAGTTAAAGCAGTTCTGCATGGAAGAGTGGGCCAACATTCCTCCACAGCGACGTGAGACTGATCAACAACTACAGGAAGCATTTGGTTGGAGTCATTGCAGCTAAAGGTGGCACAACCAGTTATTGAGTGTAAGGGGGCAATTACTTTTTCACACAGGGGAATTGGGTGTTGCATAACTTTGTTTATGAAATAAATATGTAATTGTTGTGTTATTTGTTCACTTATGTTCCCTTTATCTAATATTAGGTTTTGGTTGAAGATCTGATAACATTCAGTATCACAAATATGCAAAAGTAGAGAAAATTAGAAAGGGGGCAAATCCTTTTTCATAGCACTGTATATCTCCCGCGACGCGCAGCAACACTGCCTGGCTGGGGAGCGGTGAGCACTGGGATTTAGACACGCTGCACACAGGCATAGAAGTCTGTCTAATTTACTGGAAAGTCTACTGAAGTGAGACTTTGTCCTTGTGTTTCTTGGCCATTTACATTGTTTTGTTCACAAGCTAGGTTGTTTTTCAATGTTTGACTTTGCTTCAACTGCTAGTGAAGACATCAGCTACTAGTCAGATGATGTAGTCTAATATCTCACAGGCACACTGTCACTGACCACTCCAGCGGCTGGAGTACCACCGCTGCCTCCGTAACCTCCCGCCCTTAAAAGGGGCAGCTTAACATCCTTCTCATCTGAGATATTTTGGTTAAAAGACTTGGGTCACAAAATGAAATAAATATTAGCAATATACCACATCACTGCTTACTAGTAATACATTTATTGTTTTAGAAACATTACGAAGGTTAAAAAAACTGGAGTGGCAGGTAGATTTTTTTTATCTACCTGCCAGTGGCTGGTAGACCAACAAGTTACTTTCTGGCCCTGCCCACAGACAAAGCTTGCCACAACACAGATACCATAACATGTGATGGTGACAAACTTGTGATTTTGGAGATCACTGCATTGTATCCTGTTATCATACAGTGTTGAAGTTTGGACAACTTACCGTGTTTGAGTTTGGACAGCATGGACTTCTCAGCGTCCACCGAGGCACTCTTCCCCACCAGCAGGCGTTTGGCTAGGTCCTTCTTATAAAAGGCCTCAAACACATCCTTCCCATGGATGAAGCGGAAGATGATCATGATCTTGTCTAGAATTCTCTCCAGCTCCTCCTCTGTAGCCTCCTTGTTGCCCGCCCGCAATTTACAGTCCACGTACTTCGCTGTGCAGAGACAGGACACCACCATAGAGACAGGACACCACCAGTTAGATAAAACATACAGGAAACACTCAAACATAACTGGTGTGGGACCCCTGACTGGTATCTTAAGCAATGGAGCAAAAGTCCTTTGTTTTAAGATTCCAGGACCCTTTAAATATCTCCTGCTCTGGCTCTTTACACCCACAGCAGTCTCGTGTCCTCACCAATGAGCTCAGCAGGTTTGTTGGGTCTGTTGTTGATGAAGGCTTCGAAGGCCTCCTTCATAGCATTGATGAAGCTCTCGTTCCTGTTGAAACAGCCCTGGGCCACGTTGTCCATCTTATCCTTAAAGTCCAATAGGTCTTGAACCATGTCCTTATCCTTCTCTGGGGTGCCCACAATCTCACCACCAAAACTCTGTTAGGAGACACCTCAGTGAGACAGGAATCAATAGAAATGTTTCAGAGAGAGTAGTATACAGAGAGGAGAGAGACAGACAGAGAGGAGAGAGACAGACACAGAGGAGAGAAAGTACCTTGATGTAGTCTCTCCAGTGCTGCAGCAGAGTGGGGAGTCCTCCCTTCACCTTACTGAAAAGCTGGTAGAGCAGAGCCAGCTCCATCACACGGTTACCATCTACCAGAATACTGAGACCTGGAGGAGAGGGTCAATATCACACGGTTACCATCTACCAGAATACTGAGACCTGGAGGAGAGGGTCAATATCACACGGTTACCATCTACCAGAATACTGAGACCTGGAGGAGAGGGTCAATATCACACGGTTACCATCTACCAGAATACTGAGACCTGGAGGAGAGGGTCAATATCACACGGTTACCATCTACCAGAATACTGAGACCTGGAGGAGAGGGTCAATATCACACGGTTACCATCTACCAGAATACTGAGACCTGGAGGAGAGGGTCAATATCACACGGTTACCATCTACCAGAATACTGAGACCTGGAGGAGAGGGTCAATATCACACGGTTACCATCTACCAGAATACTGAGACCTGGAGGAGAGGGTCAATATCACACGGTTACCATCTACCAGAATACTGAGACCTGGAGGAGAGGGTCAATATCACACACACACACACACACACTGCTGGTAGATACCTTTCTGTAAGATGGCCGTCATGTGTTCTCCAAGCAGCTGCTTCTCTACATTAGAGATAAGTGGCTTCCTGTTGAATACAAACAGATAGGAGAGAGAAAGGGAAGCGAGAGGAGAGAGAGAGAGAGAAGAGAGATGACAGATGGAGGGGGGTGAAAGAGAACGTGAAGAGGTTCAAATCTGTGAGATGATCTAGTGTACTCTGACTGGAGCACAGGCCTGTCAGTCTAAGGTGTTAGTCTGACTGGAGCACAGGCCTGTCAGTCTAAGGGGTGTGGAGGAAGAGGCGGGTCTTACTGAGTGCTTTGGTCGAGGTAGCTGATGACACGATCGTTCTCTTCATCCAACCGACGAGCCACGTGATGCAGGTACTCTGGCACCTGGACACACACACACACGCGTCACTTATAATATAATTTATAATATGCCATTTAGCAGACGCTTTTATCCAAAGCGACTTACAGTCATGCGTGCATACATTTTTTGTGTATGGGTGGTCCCGGGGATCGAACCCACTACCTTAGCGTTACAAGCGCCGTGCTCTACCAGCTGAGCTACAGAGGACCACACTTATGACCGTCACTAGGAGAAACCCAAATATGCTACCTATATAGGGGAAACCCAGATATGCTACCTATATAGGGAAAACCCAAATATGCTACCTATATAGGAGAAACCCAGATATGCTACCTATATAGGGGAAACCCAGATATGCTACCTATATAGGGGAAACCCAGATATGCTACCTATATAGGGGAAACCCAGATATGCTACCTATATAGGGGAAACCCAGATATGCTACCTATATAGGGGAAACCCAGATATGCTACCTATATAGGGGCAACCCAGATATGCTACCTATATAGGGGAAACCCAGATATGCTACCTATATAGAGGAAACCCAGATATGCTACCTATATAGGGGCAACCCAGATATGCTACCTATATAGGGGCAACCCAGATATGCTACCTATATAGGGGCAACCCAGATATGCTACCTATATAGGGGCAACCCAGATATGCTACCTATATAGGGGCAACCCAGATATGCTACCTATATAGGGGCAACCCAGATATGCTACCTATATAGGGGCAACCCAGATATGCTACCTATATAGGGGCAACCCAGATATGCTACCTATATAGGGGCAACCCAGATATGCTACCTATATAGGGGAAACCCAGATATGCTACCTATATAGGGGAAACCCAGATATGCTACCTATATAGGGGAAACCCAGATATGCTACCTATATAGGGGAAACCCAAGTATGTACCTATATAGGGGAAACCCAGATATGCTACCTATATAGGGGAAACCCAGATATGCTACCTATATAGGGGAAACCCAGATATGCTACCTATATAGGGGAAACCCAGATATGCTACCTATATAGGGGAAACCCAGATATGCTACCTATATAGGGGAAACCCAGATATGCTACCTATATAGGGGAAACCCATATATGCTACCTATATAGGGGAAACCCAGATATGCTACCTTTATAGGGGAAACCCAGATATGCTACATATATAGGGGCATGATCATAATATGGGATTAAATGCATTTGATTGACAGCGGTCACTCACGTCTCGTTCCTGCATCAGCCTCTGTCCCTCTGCAGCATACAGTCTGTTAGTCTCCATCAGAAACCGCTCCTCAAACGACTCTTTATACACCTGAGGAGAGAGACAACAGATTACACCAGGAGATCTCCAGATAATCTACACAGATTTGAGGAGAGAGACAATAGATTACGCCAGGAGATCAGACAATCTACATACTATCTGCCTATGGAACAAAAGTTTTACATTTGATTGGCCAATGGTAAAACAAGCCCCATGAAGAATTGACCAATCACCTGCAGGTCTGAGAGCATGCCCAGAAGGCTGCGGAGAAGGCTGCGGTCCACGGTCTCTCCGTTGCGTTCACGTTCGATCTGCTCAAGGATCCCGTCGACGGTACGTTTCTGGACTGCCCCGTCGCTCACGATGTGGGTCCGGAAGAGCTCCAGCCCAGTATCCCTGTGGAACACACACGGTCATGATGAACAGTAATGGTCACGGTCATAGGACAAACACATGGGTTGCATTCCAAATGGCACCCTATATCCTACATATAACTATTTTTGCCCAGATAGGACCTAGTCAAAAGTAGTGAACTAAATAGTGAATAGGGTGCCATTTCAGACGCAGCCATGGTCACGTTAAGGCCATAATGAAATGCTCACCATCACAGAACAGGAAAAGCCGTTTGCCACTGAGAACGGACGAATGTATGTTTCCTAATAGCTAGTGGACAGGGCTCTTACCAGATGGAGGGAAGCAGGGAGTTCTGAAGCACGTAGGTACGGTCCAGGAACAGAAAGATACTCCGGATCATGATCTGTAGTAAACAAGGTTACACATTACAAACATACATTATATTAATCTACAACATACATTTCAGACAGATTAAATGTCACATGATAAACAAAGGTCAAAGGTGAGATGAAAAAGGCTGTCTGACGAACCGTCTGTCTGCAGTGGTCCTGCCAGCATCGGTTCATCCTCTTCAGGAAAGACAGGCTGTCCAGGGACTCTGTGAGATGTTAAGGTTAAGGAACGGGCCTCAATTCAATAAAACACAACAGTCAAACTATCTCTTTGGAGGGTGCCTTTGCTCGCACCAGGTTGTGGTTAAAAAAACATCACATCCTTCTGACGACTAAAAACTGTGTAGTCAGTTTATAGAGAACACCATTACAGGGATGTTCATAGTTTTTTTATTTGCCATCAGTCCAAGCAGTGTGTCGCTGTGCGCAGCTAGCTGTTGGAAGAGGTCCAAAGTGCCCCCTGGGCGTCCGGTAGCCTAGCAGTTAAGAGCGTTGGGCCAGTAACCGAAAAGTCACTGGTTCGAATTCATGAGCCGACTAGGTGAAAAAAATCTGTTGATGTGCCCTTAAGAAAGGCACCTTAACCCTAATTGCTCCTGTAAGTCTCTGGATAAGTCTCACAACTACTACACAGCAGCCTGCTGAAATACAGCTCTATGACATGAGGCTGCCAGGTTCCTTTTAGGCCCCCCAGTCACAACTAACCAGATAAACAAGTGTTATCAGGGAGACCCAGGCCAACGGTGCAGCATACAAATCAACTATTTAAAAAAAAAAACATGTTTATGTTACAGAGATAGTTATAAAACATGTGCATCTTCTCAGAGGAGCCACTGTCATGTGGCATCGTACAGGACACAGACGTTCTTATCAAGTCTCGACATGAAATCTATCAAACAGGATTTTATAACATCCACACACACATGCGCACTTTCACACACAAAGACATACACAGTGTAAAGGATATTCTCTGAACTGGTGTATCTGGGCCTGGACATGGTCCTCACAGACCTGACGGAGCTGCTTGTAGAGTGTGGGGGAGACTTTATAGGAGCACAGGTTCTCCACTGCCTGAAACAGAGTTGAGAGAGAGACAGAGGGAAACATACTAAGCATTCCTAAATTCTGTAAGTTATCCCACCCTGTTTATAGGACACACACACAGATAAGTTACAAGATAGGGTTAGCCAAGTCCACAGGCTGGTGAATGGTCAGAGTGATAGGGTTAGCCAAGTCCACAGACTGGTGAATGGTCAGAGTGATAGGGTTAGCCAAGTCAACAGGATGGTGAATGGTCAGAGTGATAGGGTTAGCCAAGTCAACAGGATGGTGAATGGTCAGAGTGATAGGGTTAGCCAAGTCAACAGGCTGGTGAATGGTCAGAGTGATAGGGTTAGCCAAGTCAACAGGCTGGTGAATGGTCAGAGTGATAGGGTTAGCCAAGTCAACAGGATGGTGAATGGTCAGAGTGATAGGGTTAGCCAAGTCAACAGGCTGGTGAATGGTCAGAGTGATAGGGTTAGCCAAGTCAACAGGATGGTGAATGGTCAGAGTGATAGGGTTAGCCAAGTCAACAGGATGGTGAATGGTCAGAGTGATAGGTTTAGCCAAGTCAACAGGACGGTGAATGGTCAGAGTGATAGGGTTAGCCAAGTCAACAGGATGGTGAATGGTCAGAGTGAGTCCTATAAGGGCAGCAGGTAGCTTAGTGGTTAAGAGCGTTGTGCCAGTAACCGAAAGGTCGCTGGTTCTAATCCCCGAGCTGACTAGGTGAAAAATCTGTCGATGTGCCCTTGAGCAAGGCACTTAACCCTAATTGCTCCTGTAAGTCGCTCTGGATAAGAGCGTCTGCTAAATGACCAATTATTATTATAATTATTGATAGGGTTAGCCAAGTCAACAGGATGGTGAATGGTCAGAGTGATAGGGTTAGCCAAGTCAACAGGATGGTGAATGGTCAGAGTGATAGGGTTAGCCAAGTCAACAGGATGGTGGTTAGGTATGCTGACTGACTGCTGATGTGAGTTACAGGACCTGCTGGCTGGCATGGGGCAGCGCTCCTCTCCAATACTTTGAGATTAGAGAGAGGCATAGTGTCCTAGGACCGATGCCACCTCCAAATCTATGCTGCGTTCCAAATGACACCCTATACCCTAAATATACCCTAAATAGGGTGTCAGTTGGCACCACCCACCCAGACTGGCTGGGGCAACCAGCAGATCACACGACAACAACCAGCAGATCACACGACAAGACAGCTGGAGTTAATGGCATCATACAGATGAAAAGTGTAAAGTGCCCATATCGGTACATATTATTCACATGGAAATACTGGGACTTGGATATAGTCATGTCATCAAGGCCCGGTGGACACATGAACTAGGCCTATGTTTTAGAATGGAAAATAAGGGCTGTAGCCTCAAGTATATCACAAGCATTTCGCTACACCTGCTATAACATCTGCAAAACACTTGTATGTGACAAATAAAATGTGATTTGTTTTATGTCCTGAAAGCACCACTGTCTGTTTGATGCTTTAGGCCTGACCTGGTAGAGTTCCTCCAGGTTGTACTTGATGGAGGTGCTGTTCTGGATGGCTCCTACTGCATCCCTAAGCTTCAGCCAGGTGTCCTCAGTGTAGTTCTCTGCTAGCTTTGGCCTGTCTGGGAACACACAACCGTTACACCACACCAAGGCACAGCAAAATGGACAGACAATCAATGCAATATGACAGTTTTTTTACACCTCTGGCTGGGTAACTCACTTAAACTAGGAGAAATTTGAACTTTGTTTGTAAACAGTTGAATGCATGTTCAACCATTTGTAAACATCTGGCAGGGACAGTGTCAACAAATGTCAGGAAATGTCCAGTTTTCTAAAATGTAATAGATATATTTATTCTGCAAGAATGTCATTAGCTAGATGATGTAAACAGAGTTGAGTAATATTTCCAGGGCTGGTTGCAACGGAATATTCAGTTGTTTACATGCCATGGCTATTAATTGCTTCAAATATGTCACAAGCTAACATGGTCTGGAAACTTCCTAGGTTACCCAGCTGGCTATCATGGACAACTTAAAAATATGAACTCAAGTTACACTGCAATTTATGAGGAGTTACAAGTTACACAAGTAGAGTTAACTAGTTAGCCAATTACTAGCATATAGTTGATAGTCAGGCCAAACGGCTAAATAACGTTTAGCTACCTATCACGGTTAGCTAGCTAGCTAACGTTAACTAGCTATTCAGCACGCGTTACCTTTGAAATTTTTAATAACTAATTTCTTGGAGGCGCCAGCTTTGTTGGAGGCCAGGCCAGAAGTCCTCGTCACTCCGTTGTTGTTGTGCTCCGTCAGAGCAGAGAAGTTTGCTTTCTTGTCCTGTCGTATGTCTTCTGCCATTATTAGATAATGCAGAGGGCCGTTGTTGTGAAGAGTTGTTAGCTAAATTTAGCCTGTCAGCGGCACTTCTGCTTGTCCTCTCAAACGAGCCTAAAGTTAGATTATACAACTCTGACCCTGTTGCTTAAAATCATTCACGATGCACCAATTAGTCCGATCCCTCGCTGACACAGAAGTAGATACCTAGACCAAAGCCATAAAACTTAGGAAACTTTTGGATAAACCGAACAACTGAAAATTATATTTCGTTCAAGTCAGCTAACGTTAGCTAGCCAACCTTAGTTAGCGGAATTATACGCGAAACAAACAATTTAGTATACACGCCGCGTCACTCCCTGGCCCATATTAAAATTTGGCAAATATTAAATGTTATATTTTTCAGACTTCCATGTGTGAAACAAATTAAAAGCAATATTCCATCTCAAAGTATCCATCGTTATTCTTCCACTGGAGATGTGGCGGTAGCCACATAGCTAACATAACAAAATGGCTTTTTACCTCCCCCTTGACAAGTGCATCTTGGGAGATTAGCATTCTACCCATGTGACGTTTGAAACTACACAATTATTTAGACTTTATTTTTTCAATAGTTCATATTTAAATGGTCCCAATTACATTTTATATTCAATCACTTTAGCGAAATTCATCAACTTTTATTGATTTTGCATGCTATAAAAGCATTTTAGGTACAAGCAATAACACATAAAACTCTTATTCAAATGATGTAGGCTGAAAATGTAAGCGTTTCCAACTGTGATGGTGGAATATAAATTGGTGCAGGATTGGTGCATCGTGATTTTATCAATTTACCCTGTTCTAAAAGTTAACTAGATTAAAAGGTATGATAGAGTACAGTATTCTACATTTAGTTGCTGTTGATAACGGGATATGGAGAAGGGAGAGTCGGTCAAGGATGGATTCAGACTAGGTGGTAAATTGTATGACAAGGCAGTTTATTCAGAGTAAAGATATCTGGTACAAGCGTGCACGGACTCGTTCTTTCAGCTCATATGGAACTTGCAGACGGAGCCCCGAAAACACAGTGCACACATGTTTTATACAGTTTAGTAAAGTAGGTTGAGTCTGGCAGATCTGGTCTTCTGGTTGGTCCATGCTGTTCGAGCGTCGTCCTCTGTGATTGGGTCTAGGAGATCTACTCAGGCCCTTTGTTCCGAATGCTCAGCAAAGTAGGAGATTTGGTGTGTGCGTTTAGTTATCTCTTATCTTGAGTAAGTCTGTGTGTGTGAGTGCATCTGTGGCAAGAGTCACGAGATGTTATTGTCTATAATCAGCAATGACCCTAACACCCTGTGGTCAGGCGTTACCTGTTTCATCAATGTCTATGCAAGGTTGGTGTCAGCATTCTGTCTCTGAGTGTGTGTGTGTTCAGCATCATGTGCCTCTTGTGCAATGCAGAACATGTTTTCTGCAATATATGTGCCTTCGAGTTCTTGACAAAACTTGTCTTGAAAAAAGGAATTAGTTATAGCAATGTAATAGCAATATGCTATTTATAAAAATAGCATTTCTTACATTGCTCATTTTAAACACTTTAAACAGATGCATTTTCTTGGAAAGACAGGAGAAAGGTGTAATTGCAGCACGCAATTCAGGGCATTTCTGCATGTGGGCATTCATGCATCTGCAGGAACCCCTCTTTATCCTTCTATTGGTACATTTTTAATCGCATAGACAATCAGAGGAAATGTAGAATATCAAAAGTGTCATACAAGCATGAAGATGGCGTGCTCGAGGAGGGGTGTTCATGCAGGAAACAATGGGATGCTCGGGGGATGTTGATGCAGGAACCAATGCGATGCTCGAGGGGGCGTTCCTGCAGATGCAGGAATACCCACATGAAGGAGAGCCCCAAATTGCGGCCAGCAATCACACACTATTGGAACAGACAAAGCATATTTTTGTAGGCAATGGTACTCCACCATGGTTCGATGGACAAAGCCTATGGGGAAATGAATGGAGTTTTTGTAGGGTTTTTGGATCAACTGCGAAAATAAGGTATTTGGTAAACACAGGCTTAGGAGATCTTGTACATTTTGTTCTATGAGATCATTTTCAACAGCTAACGTCACTTTTTGTGAATTTTGAAGCATTTGTGTAATAAAAAAAAGCACATAAAGGCTTCATAATTCATAAAGGTCATGTTAACTGACTGATATTATCTCACAGAACAAAACGTATAAAGTCTTCTAAACCTGTGTTAACCTCAGACCTTATTGTCGGCATAGGAATGGTTGAAGGATTGGTGCAGCACTTTGTGACATCTGCTGATGTAAAAAGGGCTTTATAAATAACATTTGATTGAAGGAACCATAGGTAACTCATTTCGTTTTTTAGGACTACAAACTGGCAAACTCTATAGCCCTCAATCTGGTTCTAATGTCTGTGGGAGAATCTCAATTGCATAATCCAGAGGAGCCTGGTGGGAGGAGCTATAGGAGGAGGGGCTCATTGTTATGACTGGAATGGAATAAATAGAATGGCATAAAACACGTGGAAATGACATGTTTGACTCCGTTCCATAAATCCCATTCCAGCCATTACAATGAGCCCATCATTTTATAGCTCCTCCCACCAGCCTCCACTAGTGGGAGGGGAAGAGTAAGAGAGGCCCAACTCGGCGGAAAATCTGTCTCCCTCCAGCAGGTGGCGTTTTTTCGTTGTTTCGCCCACTGAGCAAGGAGTTTTTGTATGGAGGTCAACAGGGACGGCCTGTTCAATAGGGCGATATGGGCGACGCACTGCCAAACGGGAAAAGGAAGGGATTTTTTTTCTAATCAATTATATCACGGCAACAGTACTTATCAGTGTTGTAATCTATACGTCTGATCTGCCACAGTGCCACACTGCCACTAAATGTCGAATCAGGCTAAAGTCGTGCTTCAAATGGCTCCACCCCCTTTTGGGGCGATTTCAGTCAGATTGAAAATCGCCCAGAACTTCTGTCATAGACTCCCATGTAAAATCTATTTTTTTCAAATTTCAGAGCCTTCAATACAATCTCAATGGGTGTCTGTGGGCTTGCACTTACGCGCTTTCGTCACATGAACGTAACTAAGAAAAGAGAGGGTAGCAGCGTCAATCAATTCACTACTACTATCAACATGGCTAGGCTTCAGTGCAACTCGGTTGTGTCTTTGAAAGAATTTCCTTTTTGTCGGCGAACAAATGAAGATAAATTGGCAACGAAACAATTAGGACCTCCCAGACCAAATTTAATAATTCAACAGGTTTCTACTAAAGGCGGAAAGTCCTACACCCGAGGATTTTCCAAAAATTGGTACGAACGAAAAAAGACATTGCCACTCACTCAACTGGATGACGAGGGATACAGGCTAGCTGTCCGCCGCCACAACGATGAGGTTAGTGTTGATAATCACAAGTTTACTGGATGTGGATATGGTGTAATAAAGGCAGTTTATTCAGAGGTAAATATATCTGGAATCGCGTTCACGGACCCGTTCGTCAAACTCTTAAAAATGAACTTGGGCTGGGAATTGCCAGGAACCTCACGATAAGATATATGCATCAGCATTGCGAGTCTCATGATTCTATACGTATTGCGATTCGATACTGTGATTTTATTGCGCACCATATGTCTGTTGCAGAGGGATCAGAAAGCCATGAGAACGAGTTTTGATCAGTCATGGAAATAAAAGTGCTGAAAACAAATTGGCTCCCAATGTGAAAAGATTGAGAACAAGCTATGAAGGAACAATAATGGTGTTTTGGTGCAGGTACAGCCAACTAGCGCTAAAATATTGCGATATTGTCAATACAGTATATCGTAAAGTATCACTATGTAACTCGATTTCTTTCACCCCAATCCCTCAAATTAACGGTAAATAACTGAATTGTTTGCCCCACATTTAGCTAAGATGATTAGCTAGCCAGCTAAAATGTTTTAGTTAGTTAGCAGTCGCATCTACAATAGTTTACTGTCAATAACATGTCTCCAAAAATGACGTGGTGTCTCCAATTGTGTTGACATTTTACAATTGCAATGCGCATCCATGAGTATCCACTTTCTGTAGCTCAGCTGGTAGAGCATGGTGCTTGTAACGCCAAGGTAGTGGGTTCGATCCCCGGGACCACCCATACACAAAAATGTATGCACGCATGACTGTAAATCGCTTTGGATAAAAGCGTCTGCTAAATGGCATATTATTATTATTATTATTATTATCTGAAGAGAGCCCCGAAACATTGTGTGCAGACATTTTATGCAATAAATGAAGTAGGTTCAATCTAGTAGTTCTGATCTTCTGATTGGTCCTGATGAGTTGGGCGAGGTCACCTCCAGGCTACTGTCACTGTTGCATTGGCTCTGAGTCGGGTTCTCTGTCTTCAAATGTTCAGCCTAAGAGAGGGGATTTTTGTGTGTGTGTGTGTGTTTAACAGTGATGATGTGTGTGTGTGTGTGTTTAACAGTGATGATGTGTGTGTGTGTGTGTTTGTGTGTGTGTGTGTCCTCAGAGCAAGAACTCGTGAGTTGGAAGAACTGAGAGGCCTATGGCGTGGGTGTTGTCCTTGGCCACCTGCTGACAAGGCTGACAAGATAGGACCCTTTTGTCCATTGTTATTGGATAGGAACAGAACTTATAACCAGCTCCTGACCTAAATAGATCTTAGCACAACATTTTACTCAACATATCATATTCCATATTCACTATAACAAATATATTTACTACGACATTAGCAAGAACCGCCACATCCTCAGCCGGCTAATCCAGTGTGTGAAGTTTTGCGGAGTGTTTGAGTTAGCTTTGCGAGGCAAAGATGAAACTGAGGGCTCCACCAACCCTGGTAAGCCAACACTTTTGAGATCAGTCAATAAATGCTTCTGGTATTGACTTATATGCTGCCCCTGTCTTCATGTTGTTGCTGGACATATCTTTTTTTAAATGTGTGTAGGTCACCTAAATCATCAGAAAAATTGCCCCTCCTGAGAATTTTTTCAGGAGCCGCCACTGGGGTCAATGAGTGTCGAATTTGGTCAATAGAAAAATGAATGACTTATTTGCTATGTGAGGTTTATTTGATCGAATATACGTTTCGTAATGCTTAAGTTGTTACCAGTGTACAGATATAAGTAGGACACGTGACATCCAGACAACTTTGAGAAAAAAACACTTTATATCGGAGTTGTCTGGAGATGCCTCTATGCATATTCATGTGATGAGGCTAGAGCATAGCGTGTCTCTCCATTGAATACAGGCGGTTGACGTCAACAACCCTCATCGAATATGCAAAAATTGAAGACAATAATGAGATGTATCCACCAATCCAAAGAAAGGATAGGCGGGCGCTAGATAGCCCGCCCTGCCGCTTTTTGGACAACAACTCCCATTGTATTTTGTCAATATATGCATATATTGACCCAATGCATTTGTAAACAGGAAGTACAACCTCCTCATGACATTCTTCGAGCGGAAAACGTAGTGGCAGCTCTCCCTAGCGGTTAGCAAACGGTAAGCATCGAAGGAAGTGGAGAGATTGAGAAGTGAAAAGGCAGGGAGGCCGTGATACATCGGCGTCTCCTATACCAGATCTGCAGTGGCTACGGCTGGGGTATGACAGCTTCTAGCTATTGTCTTTGTATGGACATGTAAATTACTGTTTTTGAAAGGTTTTCACAGTCAACAGCTGCGCCGATTTACCAATAATGACAGCCTGAGTCATTGCTAAGTAGCTAGTTACCTACATACAGCCAGTCAGCTAGCTAGCTGCTAAAACTGGTTAACATTAGCTGGAAAGCTAACTTTACTTCAGTCATTGCTCTACTTCCACAACAGATAGTCAATGTACAACAGATTTGCATGATGTTGCTAGGTAATTAGCTGCCCCATATTTAGCTCTGGGTTTGAGAATCAAAGTGTCCCAGAATTTCGCTAGAAATTATCGTATAGAGAAGGTTTGTTGCCAGCTAGGCTAGCTAGCATGATGGCTAACTGTCAAGTGATCATTGCTAGTAGTCGCTAGTTGTATCATTATTGCGGTATCCTCCTAGCTAACTAGTTAGGGCCTATAGTTTTTCCAGGTCCGTTCACGTGATCAGGAAAAGCTCCTGGTCCTACTGATCCCACACTAGCCTTGGAGTTGGGACTGTCAGTGAGAGCTTGTACAATAGTATTGAAAAGGCTGTTGCTTTGCACTTACAGGACGCATCGCAGTTATCCACCCATCTCCCACAGTGTGCATGGATTTAAAAGCATTGGATTTATGTAATAATTGGCTGTAGAAATGCCTGTAAGTGTGCAAGTGTACACTTTGGTAAAAGGGTGAAGAATCGGGACGCAGCCAAGGTGTGTTGACCTGATCTCACCCTCCTGACTCCTGCAGTAGATGTCTGTGTTGATCTGATCTCACCCTCCTGACTCTTGCAGTATATGTCTGTGTTGACCTGATCTCACCCTCCTGACTCTTGCAGTAGAGGCCTGTGTTAACCTGATCTCACCCTCCTGACTCTTGCAGTAGATGTCTGTGTTGACCTGATCTCACCCTCCTGATTCTTGCAGTAGATGTGTGTTGACCTGATCCAACCCTCCTGACTCTTGCAGTAGATGTCTTTGTTGACTTGATCTCACCCTCCTGACTCTTGCAGTTGATGTCTGTGTTGACCTGATCTCACCCTCCTGACCCTTGCAGTAGATGTCTGTGTTGACCTGATCCCACCCTCATGACTCTTGCAGTAGATGTCTGTGTTGACCTGATCTCACCCTCCTGACTTGTAGTAGATGTCTGTGTTGACCTGATCCAACCCTCCTGACTCTTGCAGTAGATGTCTTTGTTGACTTGATCTCACCCTCCTGACTCTTGCAGTTGATGTCTGTGTTGACCTGATCTCACCCTCCTGACCCTTGCAGTAGATGTCTGTGTTGACCTGATCCCACCCTCATGACTCTTGCAGTAATGTCTGTGTTGACCTGATCCCACCCTCATGACTCTTGCAGTAATGTCTGTGTTGACCTGATTCCCTCCGCTCTTGCAGTAGAGGCCTGTGTTGACCTGATCTCACCCTCCTGACTCTTGCAGTAGATGTCTGTGTTGACCTGATCCCCTCTTCTCTTGCAGTAGATGTGTGCTGTGCCTTCAAGATGAGTGTGAAGGCGTTTGAGCTGGTCCCTGCTGTGGAGCGGGAGCTCCTGATGGGAGACAAGGCCCGCATCAATATTGAGTGCATTGAGTGCTGCGGCAAGCACCTGTACGTGGGCACCAACGACTGCTTCATACATCACTTCCTGCTGGAGGAGCATGCCACGGCCAAGGGGATGCTATCCTACTCTGTCCAAAAGCTGCTGTTCAAGTACCTGGGCCTAAAGAAGCCTGTGGAGGCCCTGAAGGCCGCGTCAGCGTTAGAACGCATCATTGTGCTCTGTGATGCTACGGTTAGTGTTGTTGACATGATTACCTTAGAACCCGTGCCCTTGGGCGGGGCCAAGATTAAGGGCGTGGCCGCATTCTGCGTCAACGAGAACCCGGTGAACGGGGACCCGTTCTGTGTGGAGATCGGGGTGATCTCGGCCCGGCGGCGCACCGTGCAGATATATATGGTGTATGAGGACAGGGTGCAGTTGGTGAAAGAGGTCAACACTCCCGAGCAGCCATGTGCGGTCAGTCTGGACGGTTACTTCCTGTGCCTGGCCCTCTCCACGCAGTACATGATCCTCAACTACAGCACAGGGGCTGCGCAGGACCTGTTCCCCTACGACAGCGAGGAGAGGAAGCCCATCGTCAAGAGGATCGGTAGGGAGGAGTTCCTCTTGGCTGCCCCCGGTGGCTTGGGTGAGTCATTACAACAGCAGCTGTATGGTTAGTCATTGGATCTTATTACTAACATATCACTAATGAAGAATGTTCTCTCTCTCTCTCTCCCTCTCTCTCTCTCCCTCAGGTATGTTTGCCAATGCGGAGGGTGTATCCCAGCGTGCCCCAGTGAACTGGTCGGAGAGTGTGATGGGAGCGGCGGTGTGTTTTCCCTATGTGGTGGCGCTAGACGAGGGCTTCGTCACCGTCCATAGTATGCTGGACCAACAGCTCAAACAGACCCTCTCCTTCAGAGACGGACACATCCTACAGGACTTTGAAGGTGCCAACATGGCTCCCATACACTACTCTAAATGTCAAACCTTTTTGGCTTACCTCAGTAGACCTATGTCTACAGTATCTATGGCCGTGGAGACCGTGACCTGTCTGTGTCCCTAAACCTAACCCTGACCTGTCTGTGTCCCTAAACCTAACCCTGACCTGTCTGTGTCCCTAAACCTAACCCTGACCTGTCTGTGTCCCTAAACCTAACCCTGACCTGTCCCTGTCTGTGTCCCTAAACCTAACCCTGACCTGTCCCTGTCACTATAGGTAAGGTGGTTCTGGCCTCCACTAAGGCTGTGTACGTGCTGGTGCCCCTACCTCTGGAGAGACAGATCCAGGACCTGCTAGCTGGACACAGAGTGGAGGAGGCCCTCACCCTTACAGAGGGAGCCAGGAGAAACATTCCCAAAGACAAGTTCCAGGTACAGACTGACTGCCACAAATAGTGTTTCTAATAGAGTGCTTTTCAAGACTAGACACTATATGATCAAAAGGCTGATTTCTACAGTTTCTTTTGTGAGTACAGCCCAAGGGGGTGTGATGCATCTTTCACTTTCTCTTTCATTACCCCCCTTTCCTCAGATATTGCACAAAAGAATCCTCCAGCAAGCAGGATTCATACAGTTTGGGCAGCTTCAGTTTTTAGAAGCGAAAGAACACTTCAGGACAGGTCAGTTGGACATCCGGGAGTTGATCTCCCTCTACCCTCTCCTCCTCCCGGCCTCCTCCTCCTTCACCCGCTGCCACCCGCCGCTCCACGAGTTTGCCGATCTCAACCACCTGGCACAGGGGGACCAGGAGAAGGTCCAGAGGTGCAAGAGGTAAGAGATGTGGTCCTCTGTAGCTCAGTTGGTAGAGTATGGCATTTGCAACGCCATAATAGTGGGTTTGATTCCCAGGACCATCTGTACGTAAAATATATGAGCGCAAGACTTGAAGTCACTTTGGATAAAAGTGCCTGCTAAATGGCATTTATAATAATAATTATTATTATTATTATTATAGGTTTCTCATCACGTACCTTGGCGAGGTGCGGAGCACGGAGGAGGCTAACGGCTGCCGGGAGGACGTGGACACGGCTCTGTTGAAGCTGTACGCTGAGCAGGACCACGAGAGTCTTCTGGACCTGCTGGCCTCCCCCAACGCCTGTCTACTGGCAGACAGCACCCCCTGGCTAGAGAAACACCACAAGTGGGTACTGCAACTAGCCTAGCCTAGCGGGTACTGCAGCTAGCCTAGTGGGCAATACAGCTAGCCTAGTGGGCAATACAGCTAGCCTAGTGGGCAATACAGCTAGCCTAGTGGGAAATACAGCTAGCCTAGTGGGCACTGCAGCTAGCCTAGAGGGCAATACAGCTAGCCTAGTGGGCAATACAGCTAGCCTAGTGGGCAATACAGCTAGCCTAGTGGGCAATACAGCTAGCCTAGTGGGCAATACAGCTAGCCTAGAGGGCAATACAGCTAGCCTAGTGGGCAATACAGCTAGCCTAGTGGGCAATACAGCTAGCCTAGAGGGCAATACAGCTAGCCTAGTGGGCAATACAGCTAGCCTAGTGGGCAATACAGCTAGCCTAGAGGGCAATACAGCTAGCCTAGTGGGCAATACAGCTAGCCTAAGGGCAATACAGCTAGCCTAGAGGGCAATACAGCTAGCCTAGTGGGCAATACAGCTAGCCTAGAGGGCAATACAGCTAGCCTAGAGGGCAATACAGCTAGCCTAGAGGGCAATACAGCTAGCCTAGGGGCAATACAGCTAGCCTAGAGGGCAATACAGCTAGCCTAGTGGGCAATACAGCTAGCCTAGTGGGCAATACAGCTAGCCTAGTGGGCAATACAGCTAGCCTAGTGGGCAATACAGCTAGCCTAGTGGGCAATACAGCTAGCCTAGTGGGCAATACAGCTAGCCTAGAGGGCAATACAGCTAGCCTAGTGGGCAATACAGCTAGCCTAGTGGGCAATACAGCTAGCCTAGAGGGCAATACAGCTAGCCTAGAGGGCAATACAGCTAGCCTAGTGGGCAATACAGCTAGCCTAGTGGGCAATACAGCTAGCCTAGAGGGCAATACAGCTAGCCTAGTGGGCAATACAGCTAGCCTAGTGGGCAATACAGCTAGCCTAGTGGGCAATACAGCTAGCCTAGAGGGCAATACAGCTAGCCTAGAGGGCAATACAGCTAGCCTAGAGGGCAATACAGCTAGCCTAGCTACCAAGGCTGTTGCTCACTATTGCTTAAAAGTAGCCTGCTAAGCTATTGCCTTAAAAGTAGCCTGCTAAGCTATTGCCTTAAAAGTAGCCCGCTAAGCTATTGCCTTAAAAGTGTGTAATGAGTATGTTTTTATGTTATGTTTTATTCTTTCTCCTGCACATCAGGTATTTTGCACTAGGCCTCCTCTACCATTATAACGGACAGGATTCAGCTGCTCTACAGGTAAACATGCACTGTACACTACCTTAGTTTGAACATGGTGACAGTACCACCATGGCTCGTATATGGCAAATCAAATCCTATTAAGTAAAATATGGCCACGTCTTAAACTAATGCGTTTTGAGCACCTAGGTGGAAAAGCCCTATAAATCCAATCCATTATCTTGATTATTACTTAATATTAATTGAAATGAAATGACCATGGCGTTGTAAAATACATCTCTCCTCTGCCTCTCCTTTCCTCCTGTAGTTGTGGGTGCGGGTAGTGAACGGGGACCTTCAGGACTCTACCAGGTCTGATCTGTATGAGTACATTGTGGACTTCCTGAGTTTCTGCTCCAACCTGGACCTGGTGTGGAAATATGCAGACTGGGCCCTGCAGAGAGACCAGACAGTACGTTTCTGGCTACGTCCCAAATGGCCTCCTAATCCCTATATTGTGTACTACTTTTGACCAGGGCCCTAAGTCCTAGCAGAAACTAACGAATGACTTCGACTGGAGGCCATTTTGGATATACCTATAGGAGTAAAGAAGAAGGTAAACTCTACTCATTCTAATTCTATGGGTGTGTGTATACATCTATGGTCTCTCTCTCTAGATAGGGGTGCAGGTCTTCACCAAGCGGCCGCTGGGTTTGGGTAAGGACCAGGTTAAGGAGCAGAAGGGCCAGGTGAACCCAGACGACGTCATCACGTACCTGGGGAAACACAGCCAGGCTCTGCTGCTCTACCTGGAATACCTGGTGCTGGACCGACAGATACAGGTCAGAACATACACTACATAGGACTTCAGAACACGTTTATAATGTAGCTCAATTGTAGCTCAATTGGTAGAGCATGGCGCTTGTAACGCCAGGGTAGTGGGTTCGATCCCCGGGACCACACATACGTAAAAATGTATGCACACATGACTGTAAGTTGTTTTGGATAAAAGCGTCTGCTAAATGGCATATTATATATTATATTATTATAACACATACATAAGGGGTATGTAAGAAATGCCAGATTTACAGCAGACTGAACTATCATCTATAATGGTAATACTTCACTTGAAGGGTACCTACATAGGACTTCATAACACATTCATAGCCCATTTATAACCCATTCATAAGCAGCACCAAGCATTTACAACGGCAAGACATAGCGATTGTTGACAAACTGTCTTGTCCCTCTCTCTGCATATTACTCCACGATTTGCCTCGTTCAACTTTCCCTGGTGCTTGGCCTTTATTCATCTCTCTCTCTCTCTCTCTCTCTCTGCCTCTCTCACTCTCTCTCTCTCTCTGGCTCTCTCACTCTCTCTCTCTCTCTGCCTCTCTCACTCTCTCTCTCTGGCTCTCTCACTCTCTCTCTCTCTCTCTGGCTCTCTCACTCTCTCTCTCTCTCTCTGCCTCTCTCACTCTCTCTGCCTCTCTGCAGAAAGAGAAGCTCCACACCCACCTGGCAGTGCAGTATACAGACAGAGTCCTGTCTCTCCTGTCTCAGTCCCCCACAGTGGACCAACAGGTGTCTGCAGCAAGGGACAAACTACAGCTCCTCCTCAGGGAGTCCAGCCTGTACCGCGTCCAACTACTACTGGGTGAGCTGTCCATTTCAATTGTGTCCCAAATTACACCCTATTCCATATACAGTGCATAGGGCTCAGGTCAAAAGTAGTGCACTGTATAAGGAATAGGGTGTAATTTGGGAGGCAGACAATGTTGTTTTCCATGTAAAACAATATTTTAGTTGAAGTATTGTTACTGTTTAAATTTGATAGAAAACCAATACACCACATTTAGTTTCCTGTCAGAATATTGACGGAAATGGTATGAGGCATGTATTCAGTTGATTTCCAACCAGAGAATGGCTATAACCTACTATGACCCTGGTTTTAACCATGATGACATGGCTATAACCTGCCATAACCTCTGACCCTGTCTCCCCCTCCCTCAGGTAAGATCCAGGAGTGTGACCAGCTGTTACTGGAGAGAGCCACGCTCCACGGGAAGCTAGAGGAGCACGATAAGGCGTTACACATCCTGGTGCACCAGCTCAAAGACTTCCCCGCTGCCGAGGCCTACTGCGTGTGGGGTTCCGCCTCCCGGGACCCGGCCTACCAGCAGCGCCTCTTCCACCTCCTTCTGGGGGTCTATCTGGACCGGGACCTTCCCAGTAGAAACAGGGCCGGTAACGGTGGTAGTACCGGGGAGCTGGAGATGGCGGCGGTGGATCTGTTAAACCGGCACGGGGAGGTGTTTGACGCGGTGCGCGTGCTGGACCTGCTCCCTGAAGGGTGGTCCCTGCAGCTGCTCCGCCCCTTCCTCGGACGCGCCCTGCGGGGGAGTATGCACGCCTGCCGCACCTCCCAGGTTGCACTGGGGCTGGCGAGGTCCGAGAACCTACAGCTGCAGCACGACAGGGTGAGACTGGAACAACGAGACACACACAATGAGACGAGACACACACACACACACATCACATCACAAACACACACGCATCACAACACACACACACATCACAACAACACACATCACAACACACACACACATCACACACACACACACATCAACCACACACACACACACACAACCACAACACACACACACACAACACACACACACACACACAACACACACACACACAACACAACACCACAACACAACACACACATCCAACACACACAACACACACACCACACACACCCACACACACACACCACACACAACCACACACACACACACACACACACACATCAACAACACCACACTACACACACACACACCACACACCACCACCACCACACACACCAACACACCCACACAACCACACCACACAACCACACACACACACACAACCCAAACCCCACACACACACCACACACACACACACACCACACACACACCACCACACATCACAACACACACACCACACCACACACAACCACACACAACCACAACAAACACACACAACACACACAACACCACAACACACACACACACACACACCCACACACACACACACCCACACCCACAACACACCACCAACACCACACAACAAACACAACACACCACACACACACACACACACACCACAACCCACACACAACACAACACACACCACAACACACACACACACTCACAACACACACACACACACACACACAAACACCCCACACACACACACACACACAACACAACACACCACACACACACACCAACACAAAACAACACACAAACACACAACAACACACACCACACACCACAACACACACACCAAAAACAAACCAACCACACACACACCACAACACACACAACCACCAACACACCCAACACAACACACACACAACCAACACACACCAACCACACACCACAACCCCACACACACACCACACACAACACACACACAAACCACACACACACCACACACAACACACCACACAACCACACACCACACACACATCACAACACACACACACACAACACACACACCACAAACACACACACACACACACACACACCAACACACACACACACCACACACACACACACAACACACACACACACACACACACACACACACACCACACACACAAGCACACACATCACAACACACACACACACCTCTGTATTATGTGTTTACAACTAAGCTGTTATGATTTAAATCTTGTAATTGCTCCTAAGTGCTGCTGACTCTTGATGAAGGTGAGCTGTAACTCTCCCCATGTTGTCGTCTCATCAGTTGAAGCAGAGGAGAAGTCCAGTCCTGGTGTCAGAGAAGAAGGGGTGTGTTCTGTGCCACAACACCTTCAGCGAGCCGGACTGTGTGTGTCTGCCAGGGGGGGTGCCCGTACACACACACTGTGCCGCCCAGAGGGTGGTACGAGACTCGCCCACCAAGAGACAACTAGCCAATAGCAGCAACCACACATGAAGCCCCTCCCACCACCACCCAAGCCCCGCCCAGAGCCAATGTGGTGGGAGGAGCCAAGCAGCAGCCCGGGGCTGTGATTGGGTTGCGTCTGGGGGTCACATCAGATGATGACTATGGGGGATGCAAAGCACAGAGGTTACTATGGCTACCGTGGTCCAGCGTAGTGGAAGCAGCCCTGGAGCCTACTCAGAAACACAGAGCTGACCACACTTCTCTACCGTGTGCTTGTTCCTTTGTGAATGAATGAAGGAAGCTATTTATTCCAGTGCCACCATTCATACACAACACGGAGACTGATGACAGACTGTGAGTTGTGAATTAATTGTGAATGAAGTTCTAAAACAAGAACTAACTCCACATCCATCCATAATGACTCTAAACATTGAAGTGAAACCTCCAGCCTCTCCTGGTCCGGTGCTGAACCCCTGCTCTGCTATGTCTGCCCTGGTCCAAGCCCAAACCTGAGTTGAGCTTGAGTCTATCCCTGTGAAGTACAAGCAGACCATAGTTAGGCATCTCCTCCATCACCACAGTGGCTCCTCTCTGCTGCTGGTATCTGAGACTGAACTTGAAGACGATGATGCCCCAGTGAGGCTCCGTTCACAGCCAGGAGAGTTCCTAAGTGTTGCTAAATGTTCTGGTGTGTTGCACATGCTCTCTCACCCCTCCAACCTTGTGTCCACACTTCTCAAGAACTCTCTGCCGTCAAGCAACAAACAATGGTTTGGTTTTCACTTTGCTAACCAAGGTGGGGTTATCTTCAAACGTCCTGCTAACCTGATGCTAGTTAGTTTCAGCTCAGACCAGGGCCGTGTTCATTAGGCACCAAACTGAAGAAAACTGGGGAGGGACTAGCTGAGCCATCTCCAAAAACAAACACTTGTTTTCCTTTTCCACTGCAAAACATTTTGCTACGGTGTACCCTGATGAACATGACCCAGCTCTATGGGATGTGCTAAAACACTGAACAGAAGACTTGGCTAATGTTTCACTAACCAAAGCTACTTCTAGCCTGGTCCCAGATCTGTTCGAGCACTTGCCAACTTCATTGCTAAATGTCAAGCCAAGGAGTTGGCATGGTGGCACAAACAGACTGGCACTCAGGCTAAGCTATGTCCTATGTATAGAGAGCTCCGTTTTGTATCTGTGCCATTATGGAGTCTGCGACAGCATGGGCAGAGCCATTGAGGCTATCTCCATTTTAAAGTACCACATTTTCTTATTTTGGATGTTTGAAAAAGTGTATAGCTAATATTGGTGATTTACCGCCACCTGCATTGCTGAGGTCTTGAACCAAATCTTGTCCTTCATTTATTGTGGCCACTAGATGGCGGTGATATAGCTTAAAGCCATTTACAAACTAAGCAAACCAATTTGAAGAAGTCAATGCTCTGATCATTAGCTGATCACTCCCAACCCATAGGAATCCCCACCCAGTTGACTACTTTAAAATGGTGGAAGCCCTCAGTGGCATGCAAGTCCATGCAAATAGAGTTATTTCCAAGGAATGATCTCTATACATCTCTATGGTCCTGTCCCAGTTTATATAGATCAGTGAACAACATAATAATATAATATAATATGCCATTTAGCAGACGCTTTTATCCAAAGCGACTTACAGTCGTGCGTGCATAAATTTTTTTTGTGTATGGGTGGTCCCGGGGATCGAACCCACTACCTTGGCGTTACAAGCGCCGTGCTCTACCAGCTGAGCTACAGAGGACCACGTGATTGTGGGTCGAACAAAGCAAGAAATCAGCCTTTGGATTAACACTGATTTACAGGGAATCCTTCAATTATGCAACTTAGCTGTTGGAATATCATAGTTTTTGTACCAATGAGTTAAAACCAGATGAGCTCTTTGTGAACAGTAAAAGGGAAAACGCATTGCAATGCAGTCTATTTCTTTTAATGCTTTAGTTGTTTTGTTCTCACGCTGCTTGCGAGGTTTATAGCAAACTAGAGACCGTTGATTTCTCAGTAAAAAAAACAAACTATTTTGACTTTTTAAAATGTGTGAAATGTCAAACTTTTGATGCATTTTGCAATAGACCATTTGATGAGCACAGACTAAGTGAAACCCCTCTTTTACTTACACACACACACA